TGTAGCTGTGAGTTCAATGTATTGAATCCTAGAAGCACTTAGTGTGACAAGAACAGGAATTAGCAAGTTAGTATCCGTAAGTCTTTTGAAATGACTAAGGGTTGTCAACAATTGATATGTGGGGTTTAACGTCCCAAAAACACCATATGATTATGAGAGACGCCGTAGTGGAGGGCTCCTGAAATTTTGACCACCTGGGGTTCTTTAACGTGCACCCAAATCTGAGCACACGGGCCTACAACATTTCCGCCTCCATCGGAAATGCAGCCGCCGCAGCCGGGATTCGATCCCGCGACCTGCGGGTCAGCAGCTGAGTACCTTAGCCACTAGACCACCGCGGTGGGGCAAGAATGTCAACAAATTTTCCACAATAAACACAATTAAGACATCGTTTTGCATATGTTGCAAAATAACGAAGAGAGTAACACATGACTGTGGAAAACAAAAAACAAGTTTCAAGACGGAAATGAAGGATCTGTCATTGAAAGACTAACTATTTGATGCGAAGCTTATATAATGCCAGTCACTACAGAACATTGAGCTCTTCGTTCAATATTTAATGCGTGATATCAGTGCATGACAAAAAACCCCAAATGGTCAAAATGATCCGGCACCCTCTAGCGGCGTCTCCCATTGCAGGAGTCGATTTGGTCCGACCCACCAACTAATGAAACAACAACCAACCAAACAATTCACTACACTAAAAACTATCAAACGCGGCGTGCAAAGCTCTTTGTATTTGACGGGTTTGACGTCACAAAACCATCATATCATTATGAGAGACGCCGTAGTGGAGAGCTCGGAAAATTTGTGCCACCTGGGGTTCTTTATCGTGCACCCAAATCTGAGCTCTCGGGGCTACAGCATCTTCGCCTCCTTCGGAAATGCAGCCGCCACCGTCTGGATTCGATCCCTCGAGCTGCGGTCCAGCAGCCGCAGTACCTTAGCCACTAGACCACCGCGGCGGGGCATGCGTACAAAGCTCACATTTTGCGCGAAAACGTTGTTTCGTTGTATTTTATGATTGAAACTACATGGACTGTCATTAGCGTGCCCTGCTTGATGTCAGAAATAGATCTGGCATGATAATAATATCTATAATATAACCTGCCAAAAGCTCGACATGATTGTGAGTTCTGTTATTCTTAATCGTGATTGAAAGAAAAGGGCACAAGGACAGACACGTAAACCACAAACGAAATCGTTCTGCTAGTTGAAGTTAATTTGAGAATCCTCTCTACATATATATGATGTGTGGCATCGCACCTTCGTTTTTCTTTTTGTTCCTTTTATAACAAGGCAACCAACTGGACAGAGACACACATGGACACTTCTTTGATTACAGGTATGACACGTGGCTACTTCTTTGACACACGCAGCCCCTTCTTTTTTTTTTTTTCAAGCACGACCATAAATAGTATGTTATTGCAACTATAGCCCAAAAAACAGCTCTCCTGATAATTATAAGGTCTGCCATTATCGAGGAACCCGCAAATACGAGAGCATCTGGTGCTCTTTAACGTTCGCTCACATCACACTTAACACGGGGGGAATTAACTTTTACCACCACCAACACTATGTTAACTAACGTGGTTGCTTGGGCGAGTTGGTACGACATAATTCACATAAATAACAGCGCTAATAACGAGGGACAGGAGAAAGAAGCAGACCAGGTGGTACGTGAAATCTATGAGGCTGTAGAGATAGAAAGGCTGGGCAGTGCATGTGTCAGCAGGCCTTCGATTGCGCTATCGCAAAAAGAAATAGATTTTCTTCGGAACGTTGGCACACGTGTTGTTCATGGTGCGTTGCGGCGACGATTACGTGGTTGTTAAGTGGATTCTGTTTTCTTTGTTTTGTTTTTTTTTTCTATTTTTTGTCAGATACTGCCCAAGTATATATTGTGCGGTTCTAGCAAATAAATCTTTTTGTAAGTCAGTGCCGCTGTCTGTCTCCTTCTTTCTCTTGTCCCTCGTTATTGGCACTGTTTTTTATGTGAACTATGTTAACGCCACCATATAAATGCAACGGTAGCAGCCGGGAATGAACCCACAACCTTTAGGTCAGCAGACGAGGTCCGCAGCCACTCTACCACCGAGGCAGACTATTTGGCACGGTGTATAAGGAAGAGGGTGTTCCAGTCTTTCGTTTACCGCTAAACACGGTGTCACAGTCTGAGAAACGGCAAAAATAGTTCGTGAGCTAATTTCTCGTCATGACGTCGTGAAGTGTTACGTGCAATGCCGAACGCCCCCGCGTCACCTAACCCCGACGTGTCGTCGTGACCTTATTTTTCCCAAACGGCTCCCGTGTACGGCTTCCTTCCCTAATATCGCTGTCAATTAGGGGCAGCATTCCGCGCTGACAGAGGACGGCGGGATTCTTACGGAGCCCAGAGCGTGTACCGGCTGTTTCCCAGGGCAACAGCGCGCCTGTTGCGTTGCCCCGATTTGCTTGGAAGTCCGTGACAACGAAGACGACACGATGACGTGAAGACTTTATTCCGTGACGGCAGGGAAGAACACATCGAACGGCGCGGCTGTGTAAGGTTACGGCATCTCCCACAAACGACGAGGCAGTGGACTCATTCTGCGATAAATCGAAGCACATAGATTGTCTTTAAAAAAAGTGGTCAACGATTTAGAGTACTCGGTACTCCACTATGGGAGAGCTAAAGGCCGCCCCTTTGGCCTCACACTTGAAGAGGATGCCTGTGTGAGTGTGTTTGTTTAGAAAAAGTTGCTAACGATTCAGCGTACTTGATACTGTACTATGAGAGAGCATAAAGCCATCCCGTTTACCAGTGTATACAAGGTCGAGAACCGCCATAAAAAAAATTTTAGACTGATCCACGAGGTGATTGCTTATGATGGGGCATCGGATGATGAGCCATGGTCTTGTATTTTGTTCTGGTTAACAATATTTTATTTTGTTTTTGCTAACATATTCTTCTGTCGTACGCTTTGATCGATGGGTGGTAAATGTCGATGTTGTTACGGCATTGTGGCCTTTTAATTTGTTTCTTCAGCCTTTCGAAAATATTTTTGTTGTTCACAGATAATTTGGTTCGTTCATACGTTGTTGGCGTTGCACCTTTGCCGCTTTTATAGTGTGTTAGTCTTCTATTTTGATCTGGTTAGGAGTTTTTTTTTTTTGCTTTCTTCTCGTTAACTTTTTGCTTTGTTTTATGCTTGCTGTTCCTTAGCCTTGCTGTTCTAATTGGGAAGCATTTCTTAGCAAACTTCGGCGACTTAGAGCGTACCTATCTATCTATTTATCTATCTATCTAGCCGATTACGTTTGGGTGCTCTTGTCATCCCCCCCTTAACTTGGAATGAACCTAAATAAGTATGCAAGGGTAAGATGGCTTGGCGAATATGACGCGCTGCTCAAGAGCTCAATAATATCCCAATCCCGTCACGTACATGTCAAACATGTCCCGCCAGACAGTGGCGCATATACCCACGGGCGTGTATGTGCTACAGGTGTTTGACACTTAGTATCTACCCAGGAACGACGAGAACACGCATTGGCAATTTAAACGTGCCAGCTTAAAGAAATAACTGAGATCCGTAACGTCAACCTGACGAATGCAAAGAGCAAATGTCAGGGTCCCAACTGGAATCGAACCCAAGCATTCTGCGTGGCAATGAAGCATTTTACCATAGAGCTACGCCAGGCCTCGGAAGTACTTTTCAAATAGACGTTGATCTTCGTGAAACGTCAATAGTGGTTGCCGTGCTGCCTACCCAATTTTATAAACATTACACACGTGCTCTTTTCATGCATCCGTCTCGTCGAGTTAACGTCGATTGTGCTTAATTGGCATGCGCTAAAGTTGATTTATCTGGCAGTGTTCAGGGCCAGTATTCTCGTGAGAATCAGCGCTCCATATCAGCTTCTGGTTTTGCCAATATGTATGTTCTTGTTGGCATCGTTGCGCAAGTGCAAAAAACTGGTTATATAAACATCTGCAACTCTTCAGCATATGTCTGTGCGTGCAACGTTTGTACATGTATTTAGCATCATTTCATGACGTGTTACACAATAAAAAAATTGCAGCACGGTCACTTTCCCTCCACATGCTTCGCATAACGTCGATTCCCAGGTACGGGGGATCTGCCGGTTTTTTTTTTCTTTTTTGCCGTATGCGCGTTATGTAGGTTCAATATACGGTAATATACTTGCGCTTCGACTAAGGTCATGGCGAGGAGAGCCTCGACGACAACGGCTGGACATAGTGCGACCCTGAGGTGAATCGCCCCCAACCGAACCACACCATCACACTGGAAGGGCGCTACACATACCTAAACGAAGAGCAAGGGGCATTAGAATGCCGATTCAGTGGTCTGCAGGCGTACTCCACGGTTTCGCGAGAATAAAATCTTGGGAAGAAGTGCTGATACTTTGGGAATGGAGTCGCTAAACGATGACCAAATGAAAGCGACACGCCAAAATGAAAACATTTTTTTCAAATTTCGCTAACTTAATATTGCACAATTTCAATATAACCACACTTGCCTCGAGAAGTCACCTGGTTAGCGAGAAAGCGACGCCACCTTGAAATTCCAGCCCGTAACGACATGACGTCACAAATTTAGACAGCGTTCACTGACGGTTACAGTGTTCCTAATCGGTCGAAATGAGGCAAATTACGGTTGACACGTCTCCCAGAAGAGTTGATGAGGTTTGATCAACTAGCCCTCTAGGGTCTCCATAATCTCCGAACTGCTCTTCAAAATACTATAGCTTTACCACAACGCTCTACATTGTGCCACGTGTTACGACACAGATGGATGCCCTTTGTAAATTCTGCGCTTCTTCTGTCCCCACCGACTTAAACAAGCAGGCGTGTTTTCTTAGGTAACTGGTGATTTTAATTACTGCCCTCGCAGAGCAAGATATCCCTGAAAGAGGCGCCGCTCGATGCTGAAACCCCGGAAGCCTCGGATAACGAGACATCCTCCGTTGAGAGCAATGGCGCCCCGGACACGAAAGAAAATTCCGCCGTGATCTTCTCCCTGCGCAACCAAGTCGGGGGCTTGGTCAGGGCTCTGAGAGTATTCAAGGTAAGCTCTCTCATACTTTATCCCCCCTTACCCCCTTCCCCAGTACAGGGTAGCCAGCCGGTCTGAGAACTGGCAAACCTCCCTGTCCTTTCTTATTTATTCCTCCTCCTCCTCCTCCTTCGTGCAACTTTCTGTACTGGTTTGTTATATGGTGCGGTATCGTATACGGTCTCTTATGGGGGCGATTGATTGATATGTGGGGTTTAACGCCCAAAACCACCGTATGATTATGAGAGACGCCATAGGGAAGGGCTCCGGAAATTTCGACCACTTGGGGTTTTTTAACGTGCATCCAAATCTGAGCACACGTGCCTGCAGCATTTTCGCCTCCATCGAAAATGCAGCCGCCGTAACCGGGATCCGTTCCTGTGATTTTCGGGTCAGCAGCGGAGTACCTTAGCCACTAGACCACTGGTGCGGGGCGTGGTATGGAGTTTTATAGTGAGGCTGTACAAAGATTCAATGAGCAGGATCGGAAAAAAAAAACTCACATGAAGAGCAGCTTGTCCGGCTCTATATTCTCTTTCACTGAGAAACACAGCATACTTGGGCTCATCCACGCGGTGAAAAACAAAAAACACAAAAAACTACCTGATGCTAGAAAAGAAGGAAGTTACACACTAGATGAAAGGAAATAAGTCAACATATCACTAGCTAATCAATGACAATCAGATATAATTTCTGTTTGACACGTACATCAGCACACAATTTATTAAGCATGTTCGTTTTGGAACGAACATTCTAAGGAGTTGTTAGCTGAGAAAAGAAGTGGCACCGGAACACCGACCACTGATGTTCCAAAGAGAATATGGCTGCGAGGAGTCGACAGCTCTTCAGTAGCGAACAAACCGAATTTGCAAAAGTTAGGTTTCATTAACCATATTTGGTTTCATAGTTTTAATGTGCACACTTTTTGTCATCGATTTGCCTTTGACAGCTTTCCAGTGTCGGGTAACCAACTTGCTCTCAGCCTGACTTAACTCCATGCCCTCTGACAATAAACGGCTTTTTTCTCTTTTGTTCAATGTATAGTTCTATCAGTCTCAATGTTTCTATGACGATGAAATCGGGGTAAGCTTCAAGATGGCGACAGTTTTTGTAGGCTGACGTTGCGTACATTTTCTAAAATTTGCACAGCTCAGAAATGCCGAAGAAGTACTGTCATGCACGAAATGTCACCTGCATGTTTACTTCTTAAGTTTCCATCACGATGAAGAAGCGCTACAAAAAGGAAGACTTTAGAAGAAGAAAGGAGAAGTCGCTTCTAAAGTCAGTGGCGCAGGCAAACATTTTTAGGGGGGAGGGACACCTCTTCTACTTAGGGGGGGGGGGGGGAGCGATCTCCTTGACATGGTCGTTTTCTGCTCTGTGCCACCCCCCGGCTACGCAACCGTCCAATGTATCCGTTGTTTGTGGTGCGATTCACTATGATGAAAATCTTCCAATGCGCGCAACTGACAGTCAATCCTTAACGTTATCGTTTCCTTCAGAGTTGCGCAATTTTTTAGAAATCCATGCCAACTGCTGCCGCAGGAAAAGAACGTCAACGTGCTGCACATCGAGTCTCGCAAGTCTCGTGTCAACCCGAAGCAGTACGAGATCTTCGTGGGCGTCGACTGCGACCAGGGCACCATGAACGACGTGGTGCACGCGCTCCAACACGAGGTGGACTGCATCCAGCTCAAGGAGTACTACTCCTCCAAGGGTCAGCTGCTGCGGGACGGCTCGCGCGAGGGCTGCGGCGACACCCCGATGTCACCCGCAGCCGTCCTCCGGGGCGGTCCGTCGTTGGCGCCCGGCGAGTCACTCTGCATCGACGACCTTCCCGGTGAGATGAAAACATTGCTTGTGCATCGACGCTAAGCCTAAGGCGTGCGCCATCTTGGAAGCCGTCACGGCACCGAGCAGTGGCTCCGCAGCTCACAACCAAGGAGGAATAAAGAAAAATTGCTGGAGTGGAAGCTCCAGCAATGTCTTGCCAGCAGAACTGAAGCCATCTTTTGCCACTGCCAAGATGGCGGAAACATGCTCTTTTCTGACGGTGCCCACTTAAAGATCAAGTGGCTTTGATATGTTATGTAAATACAACGTTAGTTCTACGTTAAAAAATAGTTGTTCCCGACGAAATAACACAAAGAAACGAGTATAGACGACTGAATCTAAAAGGAACTTTGCCTCCAATTAGGAGCTCACTAAGGAAAACTAGTAACTGTAAGACGCACTTACAGCACTATGTGACCAGAAAAAGTTGCCACATTAAACTTGTTCAGCATGCAAGGGGAACGCTTCGTATTTATTCGCTGAACGGTGATAATTTATCATGCCCCTAGTAAGATGGCCACCACAGCCACCGTCTTGCCAGTAGAACGGCTTCACTTCTGGGCAGTCATTTCCACTCCAGCAATTTTTTTAATCCCCCTTGCTCACAACTGGTCTTACAAAAAGAGGAGACGCTCGCTATAGACCAGAAATTCGATCACTTGAAGGGCGCAGTCATTTTTTTGTAGGAGGGGGGGGGGGGGGCTGCTGGATACGTGGAACGAGTGGCTACGCTAGCATCTATCCTGCTATTACCGCATGGTGGTCGCCAGTGTTTGCTCGCCGTCAGCTGCGACGTAATCGTACCGCAGCCCCCACGCCGGCCTCATCGAGAGGTGACAACGGCGGACAAGATAATGTACGCTTGCTCTAAACGTGGGCGCGAGAGTAAAAGCAATCTGGTCTCAACCCGCATCTCTCGTTTTACGACACTGGCTTGTTCTCCATCCTCACTTCTCAAATCTTGTAGTGTTCAAGATACCACTCCAGGCGGCCTAGTATCATCCGTTCCATTATCTTCCCTACGCAGCTGGCCAGTGCTATTGGGCGGTATGAGGTTAGTTCGAGTGGGGATTTGCCCTGCTTCAAGATGGGTAACAAGCGGCTTACTTTCCAGTCATCGCGACCGCTCTTCTATTGACAATGTCGTTGATCTAGTTTCGTACGTTCAGCACGAAAGATCCCGTAAGCGACTATCTGCAGCTTTGTTTCTAGATGTGAAAGGCGCTTATGATAATGTACTACATGAAGCCATTTTGGGTGCTCTTGCGGTGGTTGGCCTTGGTGGTCGAGTGTTTCGGTGGATTTCGAGTTACCTGGCTGCAAGATCATTCTTTGTGTTAACAGAAGATGGCCCAACTACGCGACGCTATACTTCCAGGGGTGTTCCTCAAGGCGGAGTTCTTAGCCCGACGCTATTCAATCTTGCACTAATTGGCCTTGCTGAATACTTGCCAAGCACCATTAAAATATCAATATACGCAGACGACATCTGTGTCTGGACATCAGCAGTCACACGTCCTCAGATACGTTCCCGGCTTCAAAAAGCAGCAACTATGATTGCCAACTACTTGTTCAAACAAGGTCTCAGCATATCACCAGAAAAATGCGCGCTGGTGGCTTTCACTCGCAAAGCAATGACCCCTTATGTCATCTCAATCTGCGGGCGACCGATTTCTTACGCCAAAACCCACCGGTTTCTGGGCATCATTATTGATAGGGACCTCTGTTGGAGTCCGCATGTGACCTATATGAAGAAGCGCCTGACCGCTGTTTCTCAACTGTTCAAGTTCCTGGCAGGAAAGACGTGGGGGATGTCAGTAGACGCAATGATGGAGCTCTACAGGGCCCTGTTTCTCGGTTTCCTCAGATATAGCTTGCCTGTGCTTAGCAATACCTGCAAGACCAATGTTCGTGTTTACAGGCAGTACAAGCCCAAGCGCTGAGAGTGTGCCTCGGTCTGCCCAGATGTACGTCAACAGAAGCAACAATTGCGATTGCTGGTGACTATCCGATACAAACTCACATTGTTGTAGAAGTCCTGAGAACGCACATCCGACACTTCGCACGTGCCCCCGGCCATCACCTTGCACTGTTGCCTTCAGAGAGGCGCCAAGCATCGTTCGCCAAAATTATCGTGAAATACAACGATAAACTTCCCTCGGGCTTCACTCATGCATCTAAACCATCCATACCACCTTGGTGTCTTATTCGACCCACAGTGCATCTTAGTGTACCAGGGATCCGGAGGAAATCTGAGTTTTCGTCACCCGTGCTGAAACAACTGTCTCTTCTTCTTTTGCACGAGAAATATTCAGACAGCATACATGTATACACCGATGGTTCCACGAACCACCAGTGTTCGTCAGGGGCAGTAGTTATCCCAGCAAGAGGTGTTACCATCAGCTTTAGGACTGACCACTCCACGGCATCTACAGCAGCGGAACTAGCTGCTTTGCGCGCTGCACTTTGTGTGGTCAATCGGGAACCACCGCAACAATGGTCGATTTTCAGCGACTCAAGGGCTGCCCTACAATCTGTGCTCTCAGCACTGCGTCGCGGCCCGTACGAACAGCTTGTTTTCGAAATTCGATGCCTTCTCCACACTTTACTCCAGAAAGGGCATCATGTGACGCTTCAATGGCTGCCAAGTCATTGCGGCATCATAGGAAACGAACATGCCGATACTGCCGCGCGGGCAGCCCTTGAAGGAACACGAAAAGAAGCCATACCACTTTCGAGGACTGATGCTGCCAGCAATCTTCGACGACTTGCGCGTGAAATCACGTTTTCGCTATGGTGCCCACCAAGCATCGATACGAATCGTCAACACCACCTGTCCTATTTGATGGATCTCCGCATGCCCACTGGACTCGACCGAAGAGAAGCCACCCTACTTCATCGCGTATGGCTAGGAGTGGCATTTACAAAATCTTACTCCTTTGTCATAGGAATGGCCGACAACGCTCTCTGCGATGCCTGTCATTGCGAAGAGACGCTACACCACATCCTGTGTGGCTGTCCGTTGTATGAAATCCAGAGACAGTCACTGGCGTCCGCTTTTGTGCGCATCGACAACATCCAAATGTCTGTGGACACTATTCTGTCAAGTGCCCGAGAGAAGACACTGCAACAGAAGGCGACGAAAGCTCTGTTGAAATTCCTACGCGACACCGACTTGAACAAGCGACTGTAACAGCAATGTCACACACCGCGAAAGACGAGACTGGACTATGACTGAGTGTGCGCGCATGTGCTGCCAAATGTGCTGTTTCTATCTTCTCTCTCTGCTCTCTTTCATCTCCCCCATCCCTCCCCCATGCGCATCCCTCACCGGCTGCCTATAGGCTGGTTAACCTCCTTGCCTTTCTTTTCCCTCTATTTTTTTCCTTTTTTCCTCACTTCTCAAGTGAGGACAGGCAAGAGGTGATTAGAGTGTTGGCAGAAAGGTCCAGAACAAGGAGAACAAGAAGAAAGCACCTCATTTTAGGGAATGAGGTTAAGGAGAATTCGATAGATAAATGAGTGGTGACCAAGATGCATCCTGCACTAGCTTTCGCCGCCCGGCGTACCTGATCTTAGGAGCACTAACTGCGTTTCCAGGTCTGGAGAGATGCGTCTTCCACTACTCCTTTTTGAAGTCTGTGCTTGGAGATTTGTGGATTGTGGGAGATGTAAAGTCGGTATTATCGCAGGCGTAAGTAACCGTACGAGGCCAAGAGGATAGCCAGAGTAGTAAGATAGGGTATAAATATACCCTATCTAGTAAGTCTACAGTAACTCGCATAGCCAGACTTAAATTCTTGTTTCTGCTTTCCCAAAATACATTTACGTTTGATGCAGAGCAGTACCTAATTCCCTGTCAAGTGCGGAGCCTACGAAGGGGCCACCTCAGAAAATATCTAGTTCCTCAATGTCGTGTGAACACATATGCATACTCTTTTTCCCTAGAACAATAAAAGACTGGAATGTATTACCCGATGCTATACGTGATTCTCAAACTGCAGAACATTTTGAAAACAATGTTACGAAATATTTTCTAAGTGAATCTTCGTAAACGGTGATTGCTGTTTTTGGTGTGTGTGCCTGTCATCTTTTGACTATGAATCTATTTGCTGTAACTTGTCTCATGTACGTTGTAGGATGTAATATTGGGAAGTGTATTTTGTGATGTATGTGATGTAGCATGTAAGTCGTAGAACGTAGTATAGTGATGTATTCCTTTTGTATCGGCTATGCATTTCTTTTTTACGCATGACATGACGCTTGTTGTGTCAGTTTTCTACCCCACCCCTGTAACGGCCCAATCGGCCAACAGTACCTGGAAATAAATAAATAAAAATAAATAAAATAAGTCATAAAAGCTCCGCGAAATTTGTCACCAACCCAAATACAAGCAAGAAAGTTATTATACACTCAATAAACACGAAAAGGCCAACTGAGTTAGAATTCATATCTTCACTAAGAAAGACACTATACTAATGCAAAATTTTGGTAAAAGCGTTTTCTATTTTTTGCATCACAGATAATATTAATTAGTAAGGAGGTTTTTCCCCTAGCTAAACGATAGCTGCTCCTCTTTACGTGGACGCAAATCGATAACAATAAATTGTTATCGATGTGCGGAACATGAAGAGACGATATTTTGCCTCCGGGCATTACTAAATTAAACATGAATACGCAATATCTAGTAGGTTCAGTTAGCTTATTAGGCTAGCACACCATATGTCTATGTCGGTAGGTTTTTCACTATCGCACAGCCTCGAAAAAAAATTTTAAGCATTACCTTTCCTTGTATACCAATACGGCAGTTTTATCAACGGAACACAGTTTTTAGTCGTACAATTCAGCACATACGTTGCTGTTGCCATCTCTTGCAGAGTTCGCTGGCATGCCATGGTTTCCCCGTAAGATTTCGGACCTGGACAAGACTTCCAACAAAGTTCTCATGTACGGAGCGGAACTAGACGCTGACCATCCGGTAACTCGCTCACTCACTTTTAAAAATTTTTACATATTACTTATATACTACAAAGGAATGACCCTCTAAAACAACGCATAAATAACCGACAAGCAAATCAGACAGGATAGCGCCGAGCGCTTCATGTTATGAGTTATCCCGCTGTTGCAATATCCTGTTTTCCACGACTGTGAGTAACCGATTGAGCAATATTATCGCCATTGCACGTTATTGATCATTGTGCCTAAGGTCGTCTTGAATTTTTTAACTTCCTCGGGCAGTGGTGAATAGCGCAAGGGAGGAAGTAAATATTTCAAAATTTCGGCGCTGGTGATTTTACGCACAAAACCATATTCTTTATTTGTAGAGACAATGGCACCGCAGGTGCCTGCTTCAATGTCCGGAATCGACCGTAGCCTCTGCACTGCAAGGAATGGTACACACTACCTGTACCTTTGTACATGTAACTGTCTATGGTACAGGCAGAGGTAGAAAGCTTTATTGAGAATTGGATTAGGCATTAATTAAAGGCTTCAAAAAATTCTGAGTAGTGCAGACCTATATAACGATATTCGATAAGCTAATCCTTTACATGGAACGCCACGATGAACTAAATACTTTCCGTTTCAGTGGTATGAGATAGGCATCGAAATAAAACTTACGACAATTAGTTGGACATGCTGTGTATGCATGTCGTAATTATAGTCATCATATATAATTTTCAGTTGCTCGCCCTGCGCGCATTCTGGACTTGGAAGTGCGAGCGTCTCACATCGTAGCGTTCCTTGTTGTGTTGCTTTATTTTTCAGGGTTTCAAGGACCCGGAATACCGACAGAGGCGCATGTTCTTCGCGGATGTTGCAACGCAATACAAGTAGTAAGTATATACGTTAATGCCTGCATACATTTTTTGAGGTGGTAATAAATAGCGTAGGTTGCACTCGTTGCCTCCTTTCCTGTATTTTTTATTTTTCTTTTTATATCTGTTGTGCCTAAATTTCAGTGGCTCGCCTATACCCCGAGTGGAGTACACACTCGAAGAACGCACCACGTGGGGACGAGTGTTCCGAGAACTACGGCAACTCTACACCACGCACGCCTGCTCAGAGTTCTTGGAAAATTTTCGACTACTAATCAAATACTGTGGCTACAGGTAAATCTAATTTTTTTTTGCTCCCTGAACGAAATTTCAGCTCACATATCCAAATGCCTCTGGCACAATTGGTAAACAAACGTTTTCTCGAGTTATCGCTTTAAAGTTACTGGTTACAACACTTTCTAGATTGCATTCATTTTCATTTTGTGCGTGAAAAAACAGATCAATTGATTTGGACTTTTATATAGTAAATGACGTGTGTAAGTATGTTTATGTCATGTGCGTGGTAATTACCTCTACCATCATTAACAAGTCTTTAGTATCCAGTTTGGTCATAAATAACTATAGTATTGTTATTTTCATTGATTTCAACGTATCAGGAAATGTTTAGACTTGACATCATAAACAGCATCTGTACCAGTTATTATTTTACTTACCCGTCCAGTGTTTAGGGGAATGTAGCTACCGATATTTGTGGCATTTTAGACTGAACCAACTTAAGATAACGCCAACATTTGCACCGATACTTTACCACTATCACTTTTGATTTACCTACATTGGTGGCCGTCTTGTCGTTATTGGACATAATGGGCCAGCAGACTTCGTAGCTCACAGCTGCGTTTTTCGCAATTTCAAATTACGAGCGAGTCTGTAATTGTCACAATGATGACCCTCCTATCGGCGTTCAAAGGGGCCCTGCGACGCTTTTTCGTCTGCAGCGCTAGAGATCGCGTAGTGCCGAATACTGAGAATAACGCAAAAATAATTATCAATATCGGTGTACCGTATCGGAAGTTATTGGCGTTCAACCAGAACAAACAGCATACTAAGAGAAAAAAATTCCTTTTCGAATTTCACTCTCCGACTGACGTCAAAGGCCGTTACCATTCACCACGCGCCTCGTACAGAGGAGGAGGAGGAGGAGGAGGAGGAGGAGGAAGAAGGGAAGAAATGAAATGCAAGGAGGTCAACCAGACGCGCGTTCGTTTTGCTACCCTGCACTGTGGGAAGGGGTGAGGGGATTAAAGGAGAAGATAGAGAGAAGTGAAGGGCAACGTGTGTGTAGATGTGACCTTGTCCATTGAACGCTTATAAGCGGTCGCGTAGTCCGGTCGTCTTTAGAAAACTTAGCAATGCCCGCGTCGCTTTGCTGGCCTGCGACGCGTAGAGCCATGAACCAAGGATCTTCTCTTCGGAAAAAGGTCTACTGTCTAGTGTCTCTAACGTTTCGCGTAGCAAGTTGCGTTCGCTCGCAAAACGTTCACATGAACACAGTAGATGTTCTATTGTCTCGTCAGTGTCGCATGATTCACATCGGGAGCTATCCGCCATTCCTATGCGACAGAGACGTACCGGATAACACGCCTTGTGGTGGCCGCTGTGCGGCGCTCCTATAGCATCATTTTGCAATATTTTTCACATTTCCATAATTTAAAAAAGGCATTCTTTCGTATCTGAGAAAGTATAAATATTGCTGTAACAATTTTTAGCTCACAACAGTGTGGTCTATTCGGGACCAGTGAGTATTACGAGTGACGTGTCGTGTCGAACGAATCAAAACGCACGACCTTTGACATCACTCCCACGTGGTGAAGCGTCACTTTAGATCACAGAAATTACCGCTGTGTGTCGTAGGGCCCTATTCCACAAACTTTCTTCCTAGAAATAAAAATATAATTGATTGATTTGTGGGGTTTAACGTCCCAAAACCACTATATGATTATGAGAGACGCCGTAGTGGAAGGCTCCGGAAATTTTGACCACCTGTGGTTCTTTAACGTGCACCCAAATCTGAGTACACGGGTCTACAACATTTCCGCCTCCATCGGAAATGCAGCCGCCACAGCCGGGATTTGATCTCGCGACCTGCGGGTCAGCAGCCGAGTACCTTATCCACTAGACCACCGTTGCGGGGCTAGAAATAAAAATATAACAGATTTGTTTTGGCATTGCAACTCCCGCAACGTTATCGGTGTGTTGCACAGTTCCAGAAGAACTGATGATAACAACAGGCCTAATTTGTGTAACAGGGGTCCCTCTAATGTATGCAAGCTTGACAATCAACAACACTTTTCTCTTACTCTTTTCTCTTACTTGCAGAGAGGATAATATTCCACAGTTGGAGGATATCAGCCAGTTCCTGAAGTGTAAGTTTCAGCACCCTGTATTCCTAATAGTCATAAAAAAATAATTATGTGATTCTTTTTTTTCGAAAACCCCAAACACGTAAAACGCGTACTCATCTAAAAGTACGATATAACTTTGTCGGGTAACGCTCATTTTTAATGCTCTGGAAAACACTAACAGTACAGTCATTTCAGTACTGCCTAAACCGTAATAGTCAACTTGGGATGGCACGTAGGTTTGGCAGCCTAATTTCAACGACTGCACTTCGGTCAAGCCTGCAACATCCGTAATCACCAGTCGCTCTCTCAGCTTGACCCACCTCCTCAATAAACGTGCGTTTCTTCTGACCCATTGGGGACGGCTTTAAGCTCTCCCATAGTAGAGTACCCTGTGCTCTAAATCGTTACCCCCTTTTTCTAACCCCCCCCCCCCCCCTGACAGCTTTTCTAAACAGCTTCACCCAATGAGGAACGCATGTTAAAACTAAACTGACAAGAAAGGCACATTTCAACACAAGCCCCACAATGTCGAATAAATATGAAGCCTAAATTACTCGCATGAGTTTGAAGCAAGAAAGTTAACTCTTACGGCCCCCACCGAAGTCGGAGTGGACAAAGTGGTAGAGCGGATTTTCAACTCGGTCAGGCGGTGAGTGCGCATTTCTGCTCAGGCTGCACGGCTCGCCCCCATAGTTGCCCCCATAGCCTATAGGAAGTGGTGTGCCTCTGACTTTAGCGGAAATGTCGCCGTCTTGTCGCTATACTGTCACCCGAGCCGCCTGCGCAGATCTTGCGTCATTCCCCCCTTGATCGGGTGTCTACACCAGCGGCACCACCACCGGACGTTCTGATTGGCTGCGGCAAAGCGGAAATCTTGGGCGGGCGGAACAAAAAAAAATGGCAGCATATCCACGGAGTGAATGATGGAGAGTGGGGCGAAGAATTCGTCCATCCATTCGTTGTTGCTTCCGTCCGTCCATGCGTCCGTCAGTGTGACCGTCCATGCGTCCATTAGCCCGTCCGTGCGTGCGTCTGTTCGTGCGTCCGTCCCTGTGTTCATTCATGCATCCGCCCCTGCGTCCATCCATGCATCTGTCTGTGTGTCCGTTCGTCCATCTATTGAACACTCCAAGTCCCACCATCTCGCATCTTTTTATCATATATTCCCCATATAGAAGCACCGCCATTCAGTGGACATTCCAAGGACTAAACGAGAGGTGGCACACGCACACTTTCTTACGGCTTGCGCTTCGGGTCTACTTCCCACCTTCAACCACCTTGAGTTCATGGTATATACTAGTTCACTGTATTCATGGCACTGCGGCCCAATGCTCGCTAAACCTTTCTAAAACCAAGGAGGTTACGCCCAGCGAGTATAACGTAGCAACCTTTTCCTGTCAGATAGTGCTCAATGTACATGCCAGTGGCTGCTAATGTGAAATGAGAGACAGGAGGATTCAGCTTTTAATTTCTTACGGCTTGCGCTTCGTATCTGCTTCCCCCCATTAACCCCCTCGAATTCATTCATGGTATATACTAGTTCATTGTATTCATGGCCCTGCGGCTCAACGCTCACTAGACCTTTCTAAAAATAAGGAGGTTACACCCAGCGAGTATAATGTAGCAACCCTTTCTTGTCCGACAGTGCTCAATGTACATGCCAATGGCTGCTAATGTGGATCGCAGCGTGCGCGTTGACTAAAATTCGAATGCTCCTGTCTCTCATTCCCCATTAGCAGCCATTGGCATGTACATTGAGCACTATTTTTTATTGTTAAACAACGCACAGAAGAAATCTCTCACTGGCACCCCCTTGGAGGTCAAATGTTATACCTATTTCGGGTATGTGCCACTGGTGGTTACGTACTACGAGGGACGCACAAGCCACGCCATAAGGAGCTTCGCCCCTAAAACGTTCCTCGAGCGATCCGGCTCGCCTCCTCGTTTTCCATCCACTTCATCGGCCTGGTGAGGTGTATTCCTCCCGTTTTTGCGCTCGTCTGATTTGGCCGCTCCGCGTCTGGTGTGAACAGACTTGTTCACACTATAGAGTTACTGTATATACTACTCTTAGGTAGCAGAGTAGTGCATAGGCCCGCTGAGGAGTCCACGTCATTCAGGAAAGCCACTCCTTTCAAATACAGAAGCCAACGTGGCCCAGCGGCTCCATGCACTTTCTCGCTCGTTCATAACACTTCGCTGACGCAATGACTTCCGCTTCGACGAAAAGGAAAGCTCGAACAAATAATAACTTTAAATATTACTTGTGCTTTAACTTGTTTGATGTTCACCATAGGATTATTGTTGTTTTAAATGGCAAACAGAAAAACCGTCGCTCACTTGTTGAGAATAGTGAACGTGATTCCCTATAAATTAGGAACCACCGATCGCTGTTTTTTTTTGTAGTTTTTGTCCTAACGCTTTAAACGATTAAGTAGGTGGCTCAATAAAACAATTGCTGGCACTATCACTCCGCGTTTCACAAACATCGCAAGCAAACGAGAATTTCCAGGGCATTTTACATAGCTATTGCATAAAGTAACCACTTGGTGAGGCTTGGAATTCAATGCCGCAGAATGCCCTTGCTGAATTATACTGCCTTGAGAGGCCTGTAAGATGCATATTCAAACATTCACTCGCACACAATGCTATCGTTTCGTCCCGTTTTATGAATGTCAACGAGTGCGCTCAAAAGAATGCATACCCTGTTTGTTATCGCCTACTAGTAACAAGAATATTACCAAGAGATTTATAACTGCGCTTTATAATCATATATCACTCAGGCGTAATGTCTATGGTGATGTGCATTCTAGAACGTACTGTAATGCTGGAACAAGTATAGGGAGTCGTATGTAACAGCTGAAACTTTTGACCTGCAGTCGAATGTGTTGACGTCTCGGCATTCAGTCACCGCACTGCGCTGTCCAGGAATCACTATATAAGAAAAAAAAACACTGACTTTCATTAAAAACGAGCAAAAGAAGACATAACCGCCACAACAACAAAGTGGATTTTCCACTCAGCCGGATCACGTCGCTGAACTATTTGGGCAGCGTCGGTGGTGGCGCAAATGGTGTGGAGTCACCAGCACCCACGCATTTGTGAAGTTGGCATTCCCCCTAAACGCCGCTTTTTGCGCAAGTGAGCGTGCTTGTCGAATGGGGCTCTAGCGGCGAGTTCTATCAGAGGCGCAACTCTGCCACCTAAAGGTAGCGTATACGACAAAGGCCTGTTCACACCGAAGGCGGGGCGGCCAAAGCGGCGAGGCGGCAACGCGGAAAGCGGGAAAATCCTCCTCGCCAGCCGGCGAAAGCCGCGAAAAAAACAGGAGGCAAGGAAGACCGTTCTCGGAGATATATATATATATATATATATATATATATATATATATATATATATATATATATATATATATATATATATATATATATATATATATATATATATATATATATATATATATTTTTTTTGGCCGCTTGCCAAGGCTCGCCGCTTTGTCGCAGCCAATCAGAACGCCACGCAGCGGATGCGTCGTGGTGGTGCGGGTGTAATGGCGAATTTTACTCGTCGATCGGGAGCAAGTTTTCTTGCTCCAAAGCTGACAATCCGCGTTTCGCTGGTAGATTCGGAGCAAGTTCGCATTTTCCACTGGTAGATTCAAAGCGGTCCCCCCCCCCCCCCCCCCCCTGCGACAGAGCGTTCCGCGTGCTCCGTCTTGCAGAGACAAATTTCGCCGGAACTCCGAGAATGCGTTGCCGTCGTTTCCGGTAGAGTCGGGCAGCTGGCTTGCCCTCGGCGTTTTTGGAGGCGGTCTAGTAACCCTGTGCTCTTGTTTACATTCTTAAAATTGGAACTTAGAAGTGTGGCAGCTTGGGCTAGTTGGTATGACATGACAATAGGTATAGCACGAGAACAGAACGACGGCACAGAGACACGAAGGTCCTTCGTGTCCTTCTTGCCTCTGTGTCGTCGTTCTGTTCTCCCGCTATAACTAAAATTGGAAAGCGGTAGCCCTGCTTTCCGCGAGACTGCGTGGTCGAAATGCGTGCTTTGCAGTGGCGACACAGTTGTCATCGAAACGTCGAGAGCAGAAAAAAAGAAAATCGTTTGCGGTACAGGTTCAGTAACGTATGCGTAAAAAAACTCCCGGAGAGAGCTCACGCGGGGCATTCACGTGTTCCGCTCTCATATCTCGTTTGACACACTCCGAGTGCTCGCTCCAAGATTTTGGCGGCCACTCCGGATCTACCAGTGGAATTCGCCATAGGGTTGGGAGAAGCACTGACACGTCATAGCGACACGTACGCAAAAGCGCGAGATGCCTGCCTACTCTGCCGCGCGGCGATTCATAAGAGGTGGCAGGTCTGAACAGGTGCACGCACTGGCCGACTCGCCGCTTCGAAAAGCAAGTGGGCTTTTTGGGGCGCTCGCCTCCTTTGGATCACCGCGCGTCAGAGAAGACGGGCATCTCGCGCTTTTGCGCACGTGTCTCTATGACGTGGAAATGCTTCGCCCAAAGGTAAACCTGCACCACCACCGCGCCTCCACTGCGTGGCGTTCTGATTGGATGCAGCAAGCCGACGAGCCTCGAGAGCGATCACCCTTTCCACCTCGTTTTCCTCCTGCTATTGCTGCCAGGAGAGGAGGATTTTTCCGCTTTCCGCGTTGCCGCCTCGCCACTTTGGTCATCCCACCTTCGGTATGAACATGGTATGAACGAGCCTTTACTGTTCAGGTGAACCGCGTGGCTCTTTAGGCTCTCACCTGGCTGAGAAGGCGGAGCATCTCGCGTTTTGGCACTCCTTTAGCTGTCACGCGAGGCTGCTACTGCCAAGTAGAATTACTGTACCTTAGCTCCACACCCGAAAATACACCATCGCCCCCACCACATGGCAATCTGATCGCCCGCGGCCAAGCAGAGAGCTTCGGCGGGCGGAAAACAGTCGGTTTCTGAGTGATCGGGTTAGCCACCTTGTTTTCCACCTGAATGAGCCGCCTGGCGAGGAGATTTTCTACGCCCTTCAGCCTCTCCGCCCTCGTTGTGAATAAGCCTTTACAGTATGCGTTCTGTGGTATTCCTGCATGAATAGGCATTATGTGGCAAGATATATTCTTAAAGTGTTCATGCCATTTTTGCGACCTCCCTATAAGATCGCCTACACATTCTTTAAATTATTTTCCAATCAATTCTACTACACAATTCTGTGTGAGCCAGCACTGGTTCAATGAATTGCGATTAAGATCTCCAGAAGCTCTGTGCAGAGAAGTCGATTTATGATTTGCGGTTGTGATGCAGCATATAAATGAATGCTACGAAGTGTTTACACCTGTTTCCACTCTCCTTTCAGTTAGAACAGGATTTCAGCTGAGACCAGTGGCAGGATACCTATCTGCCCGGGATTTCTTAGCGGGCCTCGCATTTCGCGTGTTTCACTGCACGCAATACATACGTCACGGCTCAGACCCATTCTACACACCAGAGCCGTGAGTACAGCTCTTTCTGTATTCCTGTGGCCGCAGCTTCTTTGCCGCTATATTTATTCACAGAAGAAACGTTTACCGCATGCTACAGCAGCATTTCAGCATGTCAACACTACGACGTTGTTTTCTCACATCAAATTATAATTTTGGTAGCCTGTATATTGTCTATGGACTACTTCTAGAATGTTCTACCTGAAACTTGTCTATTCCGCAGTAGATACACAATCGATGCACCTACTGCCAAATGCTCTTTGGAAGCGCATTTATAAATTATTACTATTATTATTATTATTATTATTATTATTATTATTATTATTATTATTATTATTATTATTATTATTATTATTATTATTATTATTATTATTATTATTATTATTATTATTATTATTATTATTATTTATTTTAACTTAACATGTTGTAAATAAGGTTCAGACAAAAAAGTCATCATTTTGACAATGTTTCCCAGAAATTATTTACATGAGTTTGGATAGTAACCAAAAGCGCAAATAATAACAGTTGTACTAATAATTAATAAGAAAATGTGAGCTGTCAGTCGCCATAATGAGCCATAAGGAATAATTATTAGTAGCTAACATTACGCTTGCCAAACTTCTTTCTGTCTGTTTAAGTGTAACATTGGCAGGTAAAAACAAATTCTCTCCCTTCAAAATTTGCCTCCCAAGTTAATGAATAGAACAAGAATCGACTACATCTTTCTATAAACACTTGGCCAACTTTTGTTGGTGTACTGTAGCGGACCACATGCCCAAATGTTACAAGTCGAGAAGGTGGTACGGGTATTGTCAAGGAGGTGGTACTGGTACTATTTTCAAAGCACCAAGAACCATGACCAAAAGACACATTCTTCCTTCCAGGAGAAGAAATTGTTTAGAGAAAAATGCAGCTCTATACCCGTCGTCAATTTTTTTTGAGATATGCAGATTCAAATTCATTTTGCTTTTTTGTTCGTGTGACTATCTTCAGGGATTGCTGCCACGAAATTTTGGGTCACTGTCCGATGCTGGCCGATGCGAACTTCGCGCAATTCTCACAGGAAATCGGACTCGCCTCTCTGGGTGCTTCAGACGACGAGGTCGACAAGCTGGCAACGGTTAGTCTATTTGGAATGGCATTTTCGTGTACAGATAGCCTGAGGTTCTAGGGCGCCATCGTATCGGAACGAAGCTCCTATACCACCCTAAAATCCAAATGGAGGCCTTCACGGCAAAGTTTCTCTGTGTAACACATGAAAAGATGTACGCCGCTAGTCTCGGCGATTACCTTCAAGTATTATAGAGCATTGTATTAGAGTACAAGCGAGATCACAGAAGCTTTCTTTCTTTTTTTTCGCATCTTATCACTTCCGCGGTTTTCGATGAAAGCTGGAATAAGATCATAACATTGTGCCGATCACGCGCGCGCAGAGTAAAGGGCACCAATGATTGGAAAACGCATTAAAGTTTACTAAAACATTCCAAGACAGCATACTGCGACGCTGCTTCGCAGCCCCGAATGGCCACTCCTATTTACGCCATTGCGATTGGTCGATGCGAAATCGGCAGCACAAAAAAATAGGTCGCTGTCCCATTTCTTGATTTTCTGCCCTTTTTCTAATGCCCTTTTATTTTCGTGTTTATCATGCACCGAAGTTCCCAATAGACTATACCAATTAGCGATCTCCTCCTGCATAATATTTTGCAACTTTTATAGGAGCATAGATGATAATGCAATGTTATTCGGATTCTCATTCTTAAACTTCGTATAGTTTGTTTATGTTAGCTAAATTAACTTCAAAACGTGTACATCATCGTCTTGGTTCGCTACGGGATCACCGGTATTATAGTGCACAACTGCATTGCAGAACTGACGAGGTTTCACCAAATTTCTTTCAGAGAGTGAGCGGAGCTACAAATTTAAGCTTCATAAAGTATAATTCTTTACTGCTGAAGGGTCTTTTTTGGTATTTTATGGCGTGAAATATCTACATTTAGATAGGTATACGATAACTTTTTATCTATGTCCGTTTTAAGTATTCAAATTCTTGAAATGCTGCTAGAAAATGAACACTCAAGTACAAGACAGTCAGGGCTTCCGAGATACGCAGTTGCGTTTTCGTCAAGCCTGTACACCGTAATTTTAATTATACCAGAATATACAATTGCACTATCACCACAGTACTTGATAAGCTATTTCAAGCCTTTTTTCTTTTCCCTGTGTTTTGACATTTCTTGCAGTGTTACTTCTTTACCGTGGAGTTCGGACTTTGCAAGCAAAACGGAGAAATGAAAGTGTACGGAGCTGGTCTCCTTTCTTCAGCTGCAGAATTACGTGTGAGTATATATTACAATTGACTGAACTAAACAGTATCAATAATAGCAAAAAAAACTGTTTTGAAAAGTTGTGACCCTGGCAGATTTTTTTATTAAAAGCTTTTTTTGCCCATGCATGCTTCCGCAGTGACTGAAGCTTGCATCCTCCAGAAATTTATTTTCTTGAGTCTCCAAAATCACCGTTTCGCAGTAAATGATAGGTTATTTCACGTCTTCCAAATAAATGAGCGACGACTTCATACTACTGCAAAACTGGCATTAGAAGTTTCAACTTTAGTAGCAAACTAATAGTAGGTAAAATCAGTGGACTTCATCACATTCCATCTGTATGAAAATATTACCCTTCACTTCAAAACGTGTCTCACAAACAACAGCACCTTACCAGTAAAGTTGCCATGAAAGCACAGGCTATTTGAGAAAGAGAGAGATAAGTAGGGAAGAAAGGCAGGGAGATTAACCAAGCTTGGCTCGGTTGGCTACCTTACGCTTGTGGTGGGGGGTTTTAGTTTTCCGTCAGCACAGCTGCTTAAGCACAATTCAAGTTTAAAGCTTTGGGCTTAAAATAGAACTTTATGCGAGACAAAAATCTCAAAGCAGTTCTAAATGAATTTTCAGACAGTATATATAGTGTCAATTTCTTTTATTGGGACATAACTTACACCGGAAATAATCAACTTTCCTTGTCTACAGCACGCCCTTACGGACAAAGCAAACGTGCTCCCGTTTGACCCAGCCATAACCATAGAGACGGAGCCAATTATTACGGCTTTCCAGAATGTCTATTTCTACACGGACAGTTTCAATGAAGCAAAGCTGCAGATGAGGTAAGGTTATACCATACCGGAAAAAAAATTGAAACAGGACTTCATAAGAGTTTTGTGATATGTGCTGATCTGTTTCACTTGGGACTACGAAAGAAAGATAAGAAAATGAGGTATGAGAGTAATTGGCCATGTAATGATGACAATGCTAGTTTCTTTGCAATGGGAAAAAATTAGCCGTTAATAACAGCAATACAGCGTTAGATTGTGATGCATTTGCGATTCTTTGCAGTCGCGCAACTTCGACGCAGACCACCTCGCTTAGACTACGGGCATGCTTTCGACACACTTACCATGGCTCGAGGCGCAAATATGAAGCTGTTAAGAGGCACACCATTTTTTAAAAAGTCATGTCCACTTCCGATAACCCGATTGATTGAAAAACATATGCCCCTAAAACTGTTCAATCAGGATTATGGTTTATGTATGTCAGCGTAGAGAGACAACCTTCAAAGCTTTTTTTTTTTTTTTTTTGACGCAGAGGCAACCCTAACCCGTCGTATATAAATGTTCAGGCAATCCTGTTTGATTATGGATAGATAAGCTTTAGCTAGTAAACACCAAGCAGCAGAAATCGTAAAATAGATCGTGTTGTACCGTCTCTTACTCCAGCGCATGCACCATGCCTGTAGTAATATATTCGAATATACGCCACGCTAAAACATTGTGACGTCATGGCTGGCGAAACGAGTGCAGAGAAAAAAAAAGGCGAGGAAGAAGCCTTCTCGCAGTACACATCTCATACATGACGCGTTTCAGTTGTGGTGACTTGGTGCTTCACCGTAGATCAATAATGGATTTATCTGGGCTGGAATTTATCAGGACTAATTAGCATCGACCTGATGAATACTCTGCAGCATAGCGGTCGCCGCATGTCGTTCTGGGTAGTCTGCAGTGCGTGTTGGCTTGTAATATGAATTCACGGTACACCCTGCTCATGCTATAGCCGCATTAACGTCGACTTTCCTCGCGAGATGCGTTTTTTTAACGACCATTCGCTAATAATTTTCCCAGGGAGTTCGCCAAAACCATCAAGCGGCCCTTCGGCTTGCGCTACAACCCGTACACCCAGACCGTGGACGTCCTCACCAACACCCGCAAGATCGCCAACATCGTCAGTGAACTGAAGGGAGACCTCTGCATCGTCACCAATGCGCTGAGCAAACTGAAGGCGTCTGAAACGGAGGATCCCAACCGCTAAGCAGTAACCCCCCTGATTCATCTGAGTGGGGACCGAGTGTGACTAATAGTGAGCTTTATCTGGTGTAAATGTGTCTGGCCGTAAATGTAGTAAATGAAGCGTAAACGTAGATCCTAAATTAAAACAAGGGGGCAATTCGTCCCCCTTCTTTGACGGGTAAAATTCGAAATACATGAATCGGTACAGACTTGACAATTAATACAGACATGAATATAAAGCGATTACATCCTTCTTACATTGACTGGCCTGTGGTCACTGGCCTTCCAGGGAGAGGGGTAGCTACTGTGGGAAATAAACAGTTCTCTGAGTGCAGCATCACGGGTCGCCCCACAGCAACTGCGGTGAAAACCTGCATGGTGTCACAAAACAATGAGGAAATTTGTCCCTAAGTACCAATGGGGCTGTCATGGCGACCCCCTTAGATGTGTAGGGGGGCTGTCACCCCCTGCGTACGCCTATGAAAAAGTATATTGTGTAGTATAGTTACCCTGTTGGTCACTACACTCAAGCTGATTGGAAGGTGAAAAACTGGCGTCATCGTGGTGGTCTGCTTTTGATCACTATGGCCTGGAATTCGGCCTCTAAGATTGACTGCGGGCGCCCCGCTGCGGTGGGCTAATGGTTATGGCACTCGAGTGCTAACCCGAAGGACGCGAGAATGAATCCCGGCTGCGGCGGCTGCAGTTTTTATGGAGGCGAAAATATTTGAGTGCCGCGTACTTAGATTTAAGAGCACGTTAAAGAACCTCAGGTGGTTTATATTTTTGGCATCCTCCACTACGGCGTCTCATAATGATCTCGTGGTTTTGAGCCGTTAAACCACAGACACTATTATTAAGATTGACTCTGGGTGGCTCTGGCAACATGTGCATTGTTCATCTGGGAGACATTGGTAAAAATACCGCGTCGCACAAATTCGGCCTGCCAGACAAAATATATCGAACCAAAAAATCTGTCCTCCCTTGCGGTACTACAGACGTTAGATATGAAGGTAGGTGTGACTTGGCAAGTCGATGCAGGAAAAATTAGACACGTTTGATCGGCATGCAGTATGGGAGTTTTCACCTCCAGGGTGACAATTTTTATCGACATATCTCGCATAAAAGCCTTGGGCCAGCTAACGCAGACGTATGTTTGGCTAGGCAAACTTACCGATTACGCAAATTTAGTACGGATAACGAAGTACTATCAAAGCACATACACCGTGTCAAAATAGGTAAAAACTTAACTGCGGGAGTGCCATGCTTTACAAGACGGTATGAGCATAGTCAACTAGCATTGTTGTAGTGGCACTTCTTCGATATTTCTTACACATAGCAGTCCATCTTTAAAACTTGTAGAATACATTGATATATCGCAATCAAATTTTAAAATATATTTACGAATATATACTCTACATCTAACAAAAAGTAGCCAGGTCACTGGTGAGGAAATCTATTTCCTCGTATTTGTCCCTTTCACAGACCAGCTCCCGATATAACAACTTCTTATTGAAAGTGTTGCCAATTTAGGTATCCTAATAATCGAAAAAAAGAGGAAAGAAATACTGATGCGCATTTTGCGACCACGAAAACAATTACGCCGTCCTGAGGCAGATGACAGCATAGTTGGAGTGCACAGGAGGTAATGATTGCTCTTAGCAACCGATGATTAATAGAAAATCTACACCAACATGGACTGCTCCGTGGCAGCATGCCGCTGCAGACTGGGCGTGCAATCGTTTGGTTGATTCCATGCAGCCTCAACTGTCTGCGTCGTTCATGTTGCACTGATGATGACAACCAGAGCTCTTCAATCAGAACAGTTCAGCAACGCACATTCCGTGTATGATCCCAGCGATTGACCAAAGTAGTTAAACGTCAAACTATGTCACAACATACACGACAGTAAAGGTAACCCTGAAGCTTCACTTTACCCTATAGTCTCCCAGACTTTATAATGCTGTTTTTTTTTCAAGTGACTTTATTATAGGGATAGACTCCTCCACTCGACTCAGTGGGTGTCTTACATGCATGCATTTTTTCTTGCTGTTTTTTTTTTTTCAATTCATACCCCGTCATTCTTTTCTCCTTATTTTCTTCGCTCGCTAGGCCCCCAACTTTCAGCCGTCTTCCTTCTGCGCTGTTTTTTTACCTACATTTTTTCACTTTGAAAGCCTGTAACCTTTGTGCTTCACATGGTTATAAATGGCACCGCGGTTCTCTTTTCCTTTTCGAGCTTTGTTTTAAACAGGCATACGTCGTATGCCTGTGTAGAAAGATTATATATATATATATATATATATATATATATATATATATATACAATAAGGGATTATTGCGACGGCACTCGGACAGTGACTCAATTGAAGATATATGATAGACGTATTAGGATTCCGGATTGACAAATGTCGTAAGGACGTGTCGACTGTAAACGAAATAATCATTATAAAACATTATCTGAAAAGTTGCAAAGCCCTTAGAAATCCAGAAATAGTCCGAGCAAATTAGTGTCACTTATTATGGCTTAATTCGTGGTGTATTGACTATACTCCTGAACGCAATCGGCATATTTCTCTGTATTGAATTTCGTATAACACTCATCACTACTTGTGCCCAGTTGAGAAATTTATAAAGAAGAGTCGCATGCGAGGCCAAACTGTACTTACGCTCAGTCACTTCAACCATTTCAAGCACATTTTATGAAGCTACGAGTCGGAAAAGTACCACCTCACAGCTCAGTGATCGCGCACCAGTCGGTTAGTAAATGAGTAGGCCGGTACAGTAGTAGCGTGCGACTTAGAAAACGCGCGCAGTGGCCCTGAGTGATTCACGTCTACTAAAGCACTGTAATGTCAGTCAGTTTGTGTGCATCAAACCAGGGGTGCTATGCAGGGTGGACCGAGCTTCTCGGGCATAGTTTGCTTCGAGCTCGCCATGGCATGAACACGGTGTGGAGCGCGTGATAGCAGCGTTGATAAAAATGGCAACAAGAACGCGCGCAGCATTGAAAACGCACGTGGCGACGTTTGCGGCGGTTATCAAAGAAACAGCGCGTGCGAGCCCGCCAGCGCCGCCACTCGCTCAACATTTAAGCAGTGCCGCAATGTCAGCGTGATTGCCGTACTGTATTTTTTGCCAACTCCACAGGTGCCTCCCACAGACGTGCTCGTGGGCGTGTGTCCTCTTTCGGGCAGGTTCTTTCGTTCCACCTGCAGCGTGGAAATTTCCACTCTCGAAGGCATCAAAGGTGCGCACGCAGCACTCTCGTGCTGCTCGTTTCGCTCCTATCAAATATTGCAGATAAATATAAGGAGAGGTGGTCACCAGGGGCGCTCACATCGTGGCGGCGATGCGGATGTGATTAGATATGTCGTGAGCGCGGTGAAACAGAATGCCAGATATCGTGGCCGGGTGGTGATATCACTTCTACCTCTGCTTGCGTCTGTGCATAGTCTTCGTGGTAAAGCTGATAGATAAATCGTGCCACTTTATGTGAGTACTACTCCTCGGCAAGAGCAAACGTGGTGGGCGTCTCTCAATTGATTGATTGATTGATTTGTGGGGTTTAACGTCCCAAAACCACCATATGATTATGAGAGACGCCGTAGTGGAGGGCTCCGGAAATTTTGACCACCTGGGGTTCTTTAACGTGCACCCAAATCTGAGCACACGGGCCTCGACATTTCCGCCTCCATCGGAAATGCAGCCGCCGCAGCCGGGATTCGAACCCGCGACCTGCGGGTCAGCAGCCGAGTACCTTAGCCACTAGACCACCGCGGCGGGGCAGGGCGTCTCTCAATCAAACTGATTGACGCGTAGACTCGAATACAAATTAGTTGGTTCTGAGCAGGCCCCAGTTCCACACGTGACTGTGATGGTGCTGGTATGACAGTAAAGCATTTGATGTGGTGCACGCTAAGCAGCAGCTTCTTCGCATATAAATTAATGTTGTGACCTTAAACTACCTGTGCAAGGCGGGAGCCGTAGAGAAACTTGTGATAACCGAGCTTCTTGTATCTTTTTATGTTGATCGTCTACTTATGTGCGTGGTCGGCTTCGAAGTGAAGACCACATCAGCTCTGTCTTAATTTTGATTGTACTGATTGAATGAGCCTTAACGACCGATACACTAAGCTGCCTTCTCTTGATTGATATTCAATTAAAAGCATTTATCTTGAGCGCAATTAGCAAGGCCACGATTAGTGCAGAGCTATTAAATGTAATCCTGATTAGCATGATACTAACTATTATCGTATTAGTAAGGGCTAAATAGCATAGTTTTACTTAGCGTGCTCATGATTAACGTCACGTTAGTTAGCATATTTTAGTTAACTTATCAACTAGCATACTTTAGTTAGCCCGGTTCTAGCTTTGTGTGGTTTTATCTGCACGATCCTCTTAATAAGCGGCGTAATTACCCCGGCCTTACCATGACCTGGCGTAATTAGCTTGGTCATAGCATGTTCTGGGCTAACTAGCCAAGTTTACTGTCCAGCCAAAAGCTAATTAGCCGGCCGCACGTGCTTGGGTGCTAGCGGGCGATGACAACCAAGACGACGTGCCCCGGCAGAGCAGAGCGCTGGAATGTACAGGCTGACCCTAATGATTAACACATGGCCTCAGGTACAGCTGCGGTCGCGAGGTTGTACGACGCTCGGCTGATCTCAGAGGCCACCCGTGCTCATTATTCTAAAGCAGAGTTAGTGCAGGCCTTCAAATGTTCAAGATAAGTTTAACCACCTCGGTACTCTAAAAAATATCTTCATGAAAAGTTTCTGACGCTTTATTGCATGAGTGCACTTATGCACTCAGTAGAACGACAAAGAAATGAAAGAAAATGCCTCTAACTTGAAAACACCACCCAACTTACAGTCGGCCGTCTTTAACGTGCTGACTGGATTCATCGTAACCAACGAAACGCAGGAGCATTGATAGGTGGATTTAACTTATTCGTACTACTGGTTCGTTCCTAAAGGGGTCTCCCCAGAGCTCAGGAATATCCCAAGTCTCGAGAAACTCTGGCAAAACTCGGCTGATCCTTCATAGCGCTCCAGGTTGGGAATGTGCTACAACTGCAGCAGTTTTTGTTTTTTCGCAACTGTCTCTCTTTCAACCTCTCCTATCACTATTTATTTATTTTGTATTTTTTGTTTATTTATTTATTTATTTATTAGTTTGTTCGTTCGTTCGTTTGTTTGTTTGTTCGTTTGTTTGTTTGTTTGTTTGTTTGTTTGTTTGTTTGTTTGTTTGTTTGTTTGTTTGTTTGTTTGTCATAGCGCTACTTTCTTGCGAGGGCTTGCCAGTTTTGCAGTACAATAACTTTTCCTGAAAGTCTGAACAGAAAATAAAAATTGAGTAAAACATGCGAAACCATAATATTAGAACATGAAGAGCAATAATACAATTGAAGACTTCAGAAGTTAAGGAATAATAATATTACACGACATATACAACAACTACCAGCTGCAATGCAAGTTATTGATCTACAATGCTAGGATCAATTCGTGCGGCAATTGAAAAAAAAAAAAAGATGTGATCTTTTTATGAGGAGTTTAAAAATTACCAATTCCTCCGTATCTGTTATCACGTGCAACTCAAATGCGCGTACAAATCACATGCAACTGAGACCTTCAAGCCGAATTCATCACTGTTATCGTCACCAGAGTCCACCGGAAGCTTGTAGCGAAATTTATGAACTGTACCATTGAAGAGCTTCGGTGAAGATCATCTTCCGTACCGGTGCTGTCTGGCACTGGCAGAAATTTTATTCCGCGCCCGCTTACAAGACAGGTACCGCGGTCTGTAGGCCGCACTTTTCACGAAAAGCGTATTGCTTTGTAGGTGTGTGTAGTGTTCCGCGAGCACGGTGTAAGTGTCGGTGTACGATGTATGTTTTGAAAATACAGCGCTGTGTAGCAGTGTATACTACAGATTTTCAATATCGAACTACCTCCGATTCACCCAAGTTTATTTTCTAGCGCTGTACGTTGCCTTCACTTGTCTCTGTCGGTACAATGTGTGTTCTGTCCCACGCCCTCGTTGCTGTTTCTTACAACAGTCGTCGATGTGACATTTGGAAACGTTAGCATATACAGATTCAATACTGATCTCTGGCAAAATCTGAAAGAACAGCAGGGAAAAAACTTGACTACGACAAACGCTTGTTGCGTGGATTTCCCGCGTTTTCTCAGCTATAGACGTTGGAGATTAACAAAAAAGCCTAAATCAAAACACAATTGTTATGTACTTACAAACACTAACTAAATATAGAATGAGGATATTGTTCTGCGTACGCTAACGAAATGTTATTGTGGCCATCGTTGTGATAGTAGTGTCGTCTTCATAGTAATTGGGGCCATGTACAGAGTGTCAAGTGCAACTATTTCCCTTGTGCAAAGCAGATATTCGCGATATTTTTTTTTATTTATTAGTGCGCAATACTGATTCCGAAGTAGCTGTTTCGGAGTACTTATTCGTCGGACTATGACGTCCGAACTTTTACAGTGACTCGCGCAACTCTGTACTACAGACGTCAGCTAACGACATGTAATGAAATTGAGGTCAAAAGTTACCAATAAAGCATAGGCTTAAGGTTTGTGAAATCGCTATAGGGTTATCAGCATGTTTAAAAAATAACGGATCATTAGGATACAAATATAAAGAACACATGGAGTTGCTTGTGTACATTGAAATACCTCTGGACGTCTTCCGGAAATTGTATGAATTTGTATTTGCGAAAACCAGTGGGTTGGACCGAATATGTTTTGCATATTTGTGGGGAATCTAAGCTAACATTTTACCTTCACAACTTTGGTTCATCATTTATTATATTGATATGATGGATATGTGGTGCTTACCGTCCAAAAACCACCTTATGATCATTTATTATATATATAGTGCCTCAAATGAAGGTTTCTTATGTAGATGGCTTAGGTTCAAGTGTTCTAGTGTCGAAAGAAGTCACTTGGTAAAGGCCTGTTCTTGTTAATCCTTTTATAGCTTAGAGAATGAAAATAAATTCCATGCTCAAAGTGTGCCACTGTTTCAAAATCAATTTGTTTATATTGTGTCTTCCGATGTATTCCTGCCACTTCATGCATCCAGATGATATGTTGCCCGCAAATATTTAAATCGATTGCAACTTCACTCAAACATAAGACTCCCGACCGAATATGGAGCTAAAATTGTGTACCCGCCACCCCAGGGACATGTTAAAAGCGCATTAACGGATGCAAGACTTGAAAGATAATGGAAGTCAGAAGTGATTTTAAGGAGAAAGATGGCGTCTTGAAATGTGGAGATGTGCCATTGGACTCACTGTACTTTAAAAAATGTTTCAGTTCTCTCACTACCAGTGCTTCAACTTTTTCTTATTTTCTCTATGGTTTTCGTCAAAGCTATCCTTAGCTTTTATACGTAAGCCTTATATACAGAAATGAATTGAGAAATAGTGGAAAATACTTCGAGAATCTTTTCCACATCTCTAAGCTGAGTGTGATCTTCTTTATCATTGAATGAACATTGTTATTAAGGTTTGCGTACGGAAAGGCCAGGAAGGTTTCCTTTACGCCGATGCACAAGATGTAAATAAAAAGTAGATAAAATCCCCACTGAATACCACCCACACCACTAGATACACCACTACTCCCGATTGGCAGTTTCACGTCTATAGCCAAGAGGCGCCACTTATCTTAAAGGTCCCGTTCTACCTACGGTAATACCTACCTTTGAGACCCACGCCCTTCATTAGAGGGTGCCGCAATTCGTCATCAACAGTTAAACATGAAAGCGTGATGAATTGGAAGTATAAACTCGGTGTGATATGTTTTTTTTTTCCTGTTTGGCATGGTATGCTGATTATGATGTGATCTTCCGCATCAGCGTTTTGAACAGTGAAGCTTAAAGGGGTCATGCAACACTTTCCTAAGTATACATGGAGTGAAATTACTCGAAGAGCTTGAATTCATGGCTGCAAAAAAAAATTTCAGAATCCATCCAGTACGAGAGGAGTTACAAAGATTTGTCGGACGCTGCAATTGCTTTATTTCTCTCGCCCGACGAAAGCGCCTGAAGCTAAGCAGGGAGAGAGGGCACGGGAAAAGAAAGTAGGTCAAGCACGCTTCTTGACCTTGACGAAATTTTGTCGTTTCTACGAACTTTTCAGTTCGACTTTTCAGTGCAAGTCGTGGCATCCTGTGGCAGCCCCAGTAACTACCGATTGTGGCACGCTCGTATCATCTAATGGTACTTAGGCCTACGACGCGATAACTTCGGAGTATATAGCATTAATTTCCGATAAAAGAGAAAGCAATTTTTAATGGACTTCGAGAATTTATAGCCACGTGCTGTGCTATAATAGTTGACTCGCGTGTTCTCGATCTCAACAACCGATCGACAGCGTTTTCTGACCACGCTCAGAAAGTGTTGCAAGCCCCCCTTAAAGAGGTATTTCCAATGGAACCTTTCGCCACTATATTACCATCATTCTCGGCTCATCGACATTTCGTGGAATGTCAGAACCAAACGTATGCAGTCCTGAATATATTGTAGAAGTTTGTAGATCTACTTCTCGACAAATAGTGCAATGTGATGTGATAAGGTTCTGTCAAAGATGTGATAAGATTCTGTCATTGGTTTATTGCAGCGCGGGCCCTTTTTGTAATATTTGCTCATTGTCGTAAACAGATTTCTCTTACCAATGTTGGACTGTACCTGTCTTCCTGAATGTTTCATAGCTGTTATAGTGTTTCTTTAAGTGCATCCTCTCAGTGATGTACAACGACATTATGAAAACAAATTTGATATTCTTAAGCTAGTCGTTTCATCATGAGCGTGTAAATATTAAAACCGTGCTGCAACTTTATTTATAACAGATCTTGTCCCCCTGTGTCTATCGCAGACCAAGATATAGGACTACTTTCTTCTTCTTATCTAAACACATATGCATTATTATTAGCAATTTTCACGCTTCATTTACCCGTATGTTATGTTAACAGTTGTAACCCTGTAATGCGGTCTATTTCAAACGCACTAAAAATGTCATGAGTAAATCAAAGAGCTGCATTCAAATGTTGTCTGTTTTAGTGATATAACAGAGGCTCTGAAGTTATGCAAACTCTTTGATACGTTATTATCGCGTACACATAAACACAAACGTACACACAGATTTCGATATAAGATAAATCGTTGTATATAATACTCGAACATGTTCCATTATCTATAATTATGTTTTGCATATTAACTTTAAAGCAATTATTAAGCAGTGAGAGTTGGCAGTGATCGATTCTGTCTCAGATCAGGGATCAAACTCTCGCCTAGAAATGGCGAGTCCACTTAAGCAGTTTTAGTTCATAAAATGTACTTGTTCTAAGTATGGCTATATAGAGAAAAACTGGCGTTGTTTCCTGCTATTCTTAATAGTGTACTCATGTACAGGAAACAATACGGTTTTGTATGCTCCGGGAACAGCCCACTGTTGGTGTTTTCGTCGCCAAAGTGCTCGTTCAATTTAATTTGACCGTTTTTAGTCTTACTCTGTAACATATTATCCGCTTACACATTTTTTGTTTAACCAGAGGCAGGTAGGAGGGAAAAAACGATGAAAAATTGAGTTCTCTACGTGCGAGTCGATGTGAAAATTTACCCGATTTCTGACATCTCGAGTGAATACTCTTGTGCTGTCCGCACCACAGTAAAATAAAGGTGTTCACTTCCTTTAAAGGAGAAACCGTAAATCGGAAACAGAGTGTGCTGCACAACTAGCTGTTACTACTGCAAAATAAATCAACTGTATACCTTTTCTTAGCGAAGTAGACATTATCTGCCCTGGTGTTACATATACTGCCCCCTATCAGTCTGAAGAATTTGTATGTTACCTTCTACACTATTGGTGTATGTGTTTGTTCTAGTGTCACCGCCCAAGCCTGAAGCAAGCAAAATCACGTTTCATATTTGTCATCGTACTGATAGCATAGCTTACAGCGAGTACGTTATAGTTGTGCCGACAATAGTACTACCACATGTTTATACCTGTTCCGCTTTTTTTTTTTTATCTTGTGCTTTCTAGATTTTCAAATAAAGCATATGTTCCAGGGAAGATACCTTGATGTGATCTCTGCTTTCGAAACTGACTCAATAGCGGTATAGTCGTCTGCCTGATGCAGAGCAATCAACTGCTACCTACTGAGTGAAGGCGTAATAACGGAAGCTCTTCGTGTGGTGCGATATTCTAATCAAAAAGCGTTTTCAAGAAACTTGCACAAGATTTAGTATACTTATGAATTGTTGTGTGGTTGTCATGCAGATTGCTTGTGGTAGATTGCTCACATACGCAACTATGTGAGGGCTACAGTATTTACATGATTGTAGACCAGCCTCGTTGAACTCAATTTGAATGCTGGAATTGTGGGGGGGGGGGGGGGGGGGCACCTACAATCGAAACCGAACTATAGTTTGAGTAAGAGGTAAACTTACCACGAAAACAAATGAAAATCAACACGCTGTGGCATGGTTACAACCTTATGTTTATGTTCCGGTTTTACCTGTAACATACACCACATTTGTGTGAGTGGGTGATTTTAAATGAAAAGAAGAGAAAAGTGAGCCCCGTAACTGCCTCTCAGGGGGAGGACACCTCAACAGTACCTCACGAGGGGTGGGGATAAGGGAGGGATCAAGAGGATAGGATTGAAATGTAAAGAGATAGAGAAAGAGAGGAAGGAGAGAGCAAGGTGCAGAGACAGCGAACGACAAAAAACTATGGAAGCAAAGAGGAGATAGGAAAGATGGACACGGTCGCAGGAGTCCGAGGACGGGGCACTACTCGGCGAGAGCTCTTGTCGGACGTCAGGAGATGGCGTAGAGCGAGCCCAGTCGGCCAGAGCTGCACTGTCGTCGGAGATTACGGGAGCACAACCGGTCAGCACGAAATCCAGCGAGCGAGTCACACCACATTTCCTCGTGTACTACCCCCATCCTTAGCAAAGGTCCGCGGAAATCTTTCTCAAATTGTCCATTCTACTGCAAAGCTGGCTTTTTCGCATGAAGGTAAAGCGCTGTCGTGAAGCCACCTTTCTACTCCAATTTATCGGTTTTTTTTTTTTTTCAGCGACGTTGTTAATAAAGAGCGATATTAGAAGGCCTGACCTACATGCCAGTCGACTACTTTAATACCCTGTTTACATTATTCTAGTCGAATAATGTAAACAGAGCAGGTCTGTGGAATCAGCGAGCTGATCACTTCTTGGACAGCATCAAAACAAGTTGGACTGCCGAGGCTGAGCTAAGCCTGATGTCACGTTCTCGTAGTTTCAATTTTGCTTCTTTCATGCCATCAAAAAATAATAATAATAAGTGAAAACAATGTCACTCATCCATGTTCATATGTCCAGAGCCATTGTAGCTAGCGTCGCATGGCTGAAAGCTTGGCGAAAAAAGAAAAGGTGAGTATTTAAACAACATTTTTTATTGTCGTCAACAAAGAACAGAATCTCCACAGTCAAGCATAAAAATATTTAGTGCTGTTTTTTTTCCTCTTGAATCACCAGAAGGAACACGCACACTCGCACTCGCACTAGATGCACTCAGAATAAGTGGCGATGAGGAACTTCACATGAAGGGCCAAAGGGAGGTCCTGGGTCCAACATTGTTTCGTCGGTGGAGTATATCACTTCCATGTGTTCAGGCGCAGCGGCGTCTCTCCACTTTCAGCCTGTCAACGGCATTACGCCACTTGCTCTTCATCCAGATGCTTTCAAGAAAGTGCTGCCTGCGTTAAGCTCTTTGAAAAGCTCTCGCCCGTGTTTGCAAGCAGAGCTAGTGCGTGTAGAAGCTTGGGTTCTCGAGAGCACCAGAAGCTCCACACCAGGACACCAGCAGAATTATATTATACTCAAGCTGCATTAGAAAATTATCCTTTTGCAACATCGTTATGGCAAATATACTTTGGAAAGGTCACTTGGTAAGCCAACAAATGCAGACACAAAAGGCAGGTGGCGCAACCTCCCCATGTACTTCCCGCACGCTCTACGGTCATCATCCATATTGACAACGTTCACTATACTCACCGATAAATGGCTGTCGTCTACTTTAAACTTTTGACAAGGCAAATTTCAATATCCTTTCTGCTTGAAACGGCGTAAGTGCTACGAAATTTATGACGTCACGCTACTAGACAAGTGCGCAGATATCGCACAAAATAAAACCTATTCGCCGAGCAAAAAATATTCGCCGAACAAAAAATTTAAGAATAAAAAATCAGGTATCTTCATAGGAACGCTGGAGTGACAAATTAAATCAGTAAAAATTAGTAAAACTAATTATTTCGATTCGTGAAGGTTCTAATTAGGCAAATAAAGAATAAGTGACAAAGACAGTTGCATGCGCCGCGTGCTACGTGTCTGAGAAACCCTGCTCGTAAGACGACAAGCTTTTGCAACCTCGAGTTTTTCGACGCGCGGAGTAGACAGTCGTCACCGCCAGTCTGTAGTGGCGGGGCCAGCTGTGGCAGAGGCTCGTTCCAGCCTTGGACGAGCGAAATCATGGGCTCGTGGAGCATCAGTGCGGCGTCGTAGCCCACGACAAAGTCCAGGTGCATGAACGTCTCCTGTTGAACCTCGTAGTCGAAGACGATGTTCTCTCCGAGCCGACTCCTCAGACTCTGCACGTCCTTCGGGTTGGCGAAACGGTCCGAGGCGCCCGTGAACAGTGCGATGGGCGCGAAGACGTGTTCCAGAGGGTACTCGTAGGGTTCCGGCTGTGCATAAGGGCAAGAGACCAAGAGACATGGAAAGCATCGCGTGTTCAGTCAGCGTCGAACAGCGAAGGGAAAGACAAAGCACTCGTACTTGTACAGCCTCAATGTAAAAAAAAGGTTAGCACGGGTGGACGGTGCCCAGAGCCGTAAAATTGCTGCAGGCAGTTCTTCCTGAGCGCGTCGATAGCGAGATTGCCGAGCACATTCCATTTTCCAAGGTAGGGGTGGCCGGTCAATGCCACCTGAAAAGGTATTTTCAGGCCTGCTCACTGCCGCCATGACGTCACTCGTTTTGAGCTAGCGAGCACGTGTACGGGAGGCTGCGAATTCATTGCCACCGTAATCTCCCGTTAAAGGGGGAAGCGTTCGTGGCCAGTTTTACACACTGAAGGGCTTTCTTCTGTGTTTTGCATCAGGAAAGACACTTGTTTAGGCAATTTTATGATTGATATGTGGGGTTTAACGTCCCAAAACCACCATTTGATTATGAGAGACATTTGACCACCTGGGGTTCTTTAACGTGCACCCAAATCTGAGTACACGGGCCTACAACATTTCCGCCTCCATCGAAAATGCAGCCGCCACAGCGGGGATTCAAACCCGCGACCTGCGGGTCAGCAGCCGAGTACCTTAGCCACTGGACCACCGCGGCGGGGTGGTTTAAGCAATTTATTACGCTTTAAAGTGTTCAGTAATTTGTCTGTAAGCCATTTATATTTCCACAAAAAAAAAGCCAAAGAAACATGAGCGCTATAGAACTTGTGGGTAACGTATAACAGCCAAGTTCGATGGCCCAATATTGTGACGAAATAAGTAGTGGAAGTTCATTCCCATACACACACACTCGCACCAGAAGGCGCACAAAAAGTATTTCTACTGATTTGCTAAGTTTCTGCAGTTTTTTTGTACTTTTTATTTTTTATTAGGGTGAAACTCTTTATAGCGGCACCCGTTCGTCCCCCGTAGTATGTAACAAGTATAACATTTTGACCTCCAAGGTGATGCCGGTGAGAGACTTCTTCTGTGCGTTGTTGAACAATGAAAAATAGTGCTCAATGTACATGTCAATGGCTGCTAACGGGGAATGAGAGACAGGAGCATTAGGCTTTTAGTTAACGCGCAGGCTGCGGTCACCATTAGCAGCCATTGGCATGTACATTGAGCACTATCTGACAAGAAAGGGTTGCTACGTTATACTCGCTGGGTGTAACCTCCTTAGCTTTAAAAAGGTTTAGCGAGCGTTGAGCCGCAGTGCCATGATTACAATGAACTTGTATATACCATGAATGAACTCGAAGTGGTTAAAAATGAGAAGTAGATACGAAGCGCAAGCCGTAAGAAAGTAAAACCCGAATTCTCCGCCTCTCATTTCCCATTAGCAGCCATTGGCATGTACATTGAGCACTATCTGACTGAAAAAGTTTGCTACGTCATACTCGCTGGACGTAACCTCCTTGGTTTTCGAAAGGTTTAGCGAGCGTTCGGCCGCAGTGCCATGAATACAGTGAACTAGTATGTACCATGAACTCGAGGTGGTTAAAGGTGGGAAGTAAACCCGAAGCGCAAGCCGTAAGAAAGTGTGCGTGTGCCACCTCTCGTTTAGTCCTTGGAATGTCCGCTGGATGGCGGTGCTTCTATATGGGGAATATATGATGAAAAGATGCGAGATGGTGGTACTTGGAGTGTTGATTAGATGGACGAACGGACACACAGACAGATGCATGGATGGACGCATGAACGGACGCAGGGGCGGCTGCAAGGACGAACGCAGGGACGAACGCACGAACAGACGCACGCACGGACGGGCTGATGGACGCATGGACGGTCGCACTGACGGACGCATGGACGGACGCATGGACGGACGGAAGCAAGAACGAATGGACGGACGAATTCTTCGCCCCACTCTCCATCATTCACTCCGTGGGTATGCTGCCATTTTTTTTTTTGTTGTTGAGTTAGCACAGTTGTACTTTTTTAGAGCACCTGTCTTCACAGAAACGCAGTTATTGAGGACAGTGTTCGCTGCTGCCACAATTAGGTTGTTCAGCATAATTCCAGGGTGGTGAACACTGCAACAGACAATGAAATCTTCAGTTTCACAAAAATGTGTTGTCACAGACACAAGGGGGTCCCTCTGTTTTGACGTAGTATGAAACTGCGTTGCATTTTAATTGCTGGGGAGCTGTTCGAGGACGATTCAAGGCATGCAAAACTGCATTAACAAGAGCTGGCTTGGGAAACTTCAGAGCACTTCTCCAAAGGGTTTTAATAAGGTGATTCCTGTCAAGTTGAATTGCCCAGTCTCGAGATGTGTTATTCTTGGAACTATACTCACAATCAAGCCCCTTTAACGTAGGCGTGGACGCAAAAGCCAGCTATGTATGTGATTACTGGCAAAATTGATTCCTTATTTGTCGTGTCACAGTCTGATAACTCGTACTTCTCGGTCAACTGAGCCCCGTCGGGTGCTGCAGCGCATGGCTTCTGTATTTCTTGCATATCTGAAAATACCAAACTGCCCTGCAGCCTCAATTTCTTTTTCTGACTCATACACTTCGTATATTGAGATGCAACATTTAGTTCCTGACAGGCGACGGTACTGTCCAACATTTTTTTCGAGAATATCCATCTCAAATTTACCCAGCATGATAGAGGCCAGATTCAATTCTTCAAGGCAAGTAACGACACAGCTGCCCAAGTGAGTAACAAATGAGCCGCACTTAGTGCGTTTCTGTGGGCAGTGTTCATGTATCCATTTCGATGTCTCGCCATTTGTCCAAACAATCTAGGAAAAAAATAAGACATTATATCTACTAACCAGTCAAACTCCTGACTGGTTACTCACAGGTGACGGCCCTTTGATGGGCGTTTCCCGCCATCGACGTACCACCACTTTGAAATCAGGTCAATCAAAGTGATCTGTCCCTTCAGCATATTCAAATTGAACTCGTTTGCGCGCAGTTTTTTTTTTAGCATCCACAGCAAATGAGCTAAAAACCTTTAAAACAAGCTTCACATTCTGGTGCCCGATGTTCGATGGGTACAAACCTTTGTATATATAGCTTAAGGGCCGAACCCCATCACCGCTAAAATGCTCGCGACAGCGACTAGCGACGTGACATAGATTGCATTCGGCCGAACAGTCGCTTGTGCAGGCAAACTTATTCACGCGACGGCTTCGGCGAGTGAACTCCACTGTTGGTGGCATGAGGCCGTCTACTCATACCAAAAATTCCGCCTAGTTGGCAATATGCGGTGCAAAAATAAAATGTGTTTCTGTATAATAGAACGCAAGGGGTTTATTTATTGCATTGCAGCAGTTCTTTTATTATGAACGTGCGTACACATAACGTTGTTTCTTCATTGTGCACACGTGACTCGGGTGGAGAGGAGCATGAGAGGAGGTGGTGGTTTCGCAGCACATGGAGAGAACCAGCAGTATACGTAGTCATGCACGGACATCCTGTTCCGGCGCTTTGAGCACAGCACTTCCGGGCGACGTGCGGTGGTTCCCAATGGCGGAAAACCACTTCCGGGCTATGGGCGGCAGTTCTCAATGCCGGAAAACCACTTCCGGGCGATAGGCGGCGGTTCCCAATGGCGGAAAACCACTTCCGGGCTATGGGCGGCGGTTCTCAATGCCGGAAAACCACTTCCGGGCGATAGGCGGCGGTTCCGAATGGCGGAAAACCACTTCCGGGCTATGGCGGCGGTTCTCAATGCCGGAAAACCACTTCCGGGCGATAGGCGGCGGTTCCCAATGGCGGAAAACCGCGCGATCGCGCGAAAGCTACCACCCCACACGTCGCGCGAACGCCCATGTATCGTCGCTCATAGCATTGCTCGTCGCTGTCGCGTGCGTTTTCGCGTTTGTGGTGTTTGACCTTAATCCATTACTGAACGCCGTGTTGCTCCGAAGGGTGCAAGTCTCAGAGAGCTTAGAGAGATGCTCCTTTAACCCATGCTGACCAAGATGTGTTGCCCCCATCTCGTAGATACCTTAGTATTCAAAAGTATGGTTGTGTATAAATCTCGTCCATCGTTATTATATATGAATATCTTTTCATGCGGGTTGAAAAGGCTTCAGCACTTATTCGCATAAGGATAGCACCCCTGGTCACCCTGCTCAATTGCAGAGTTCACGTTATATTGCGAACGAATTCACATGAGCGTTAATCTATGTGGTATTGTTATTCTGCCAGTAGCACTAATGAATCAATGGGCGTGCGGAGAAACAGTGTGTAAAATACTGGAGAATATCAAGCGCTCTGCAGAGTATTGTACTGAATGGTTGTTTCGGTGCAATGGGTCGAGCTGGTCTTTTACGCAGTCGAGTGCTTCTGTTTTCTTTTCGCGGCAAAATATCACCCGATCTGAGGTCGTCGAGTAAAGATAAAAGCAAGTTGTAACTTGCCCTCAGTTTTTTATCCTTGTCGCAAAGGTCGGGAGCCTTGAAATTTCTTATACTGCCTATAGTACGGCTTGAAGGCAGCGCAGATTCTCCAATGTAGCTGGGATGAGGAGGTCCTCAGCAGCCTACTTCACTTTGCTCCAGAAGGCTGTAACTTCAATGTTCACGCTGACAATCACAGATCCTTCGGCGTCTGGTGGATAATCATCATATGTGGGGGCAAGAGAAGAACATTCTCTGCTTCTACTGTAGTCCAGTAGGTTGAGAGGTCAAGACCTTGCGGGCGTGATAGAAAGTCCTCATACGACTTCAACCTATTTTGGCGCTCCTCTTGTCCATGCAAAAAAATGAATGGGCTGCCGAGTGGCTCAAACTTCTATATGCGGTGCTTTGTGGCGCTTCCTTTTTTCATTGCGCAGTCGCTCCCGTAAGTTGAGGCAACGAGAAAACTTGTCGGCATCCCACTCGTCAAGAATAAGGCATGCCAACTCTGTGGAAGCCTTCACTGTCCTGCCAGATCTTGGATGGGTATATTCGGCAGTGGTTCTTGAATATGGCGGAACTCGCACACCTAGAAACCATTTAGAGGTATGGTAGGGTAAATGGTATGTGTCAGTTTTAGCGCAATATGTTAGAAACGGATGCAATTATTCCCACAAAAACTTAAGTGTTCACGAGAAATGCCACTGGGTAACAAGAGACGTCCTTTTTATGTGCCTAGGTTTACTACCCTTTCTATGGCCTACTCCCGAATTTTCAAGAGGGTTCACCTATTCAATGCATCTTTTCTCTGCAACTGCCAAAAAGAATGTAATTATATTCAACGATGTTATTGCAGAGATTCATAGGTTGCTACTGAATTTAAAAATAATTTTTTTATAAAATTTGTGCTAGGAAAATTGTAAAAGAAATTAATATAGCAAGTACTCGTGAAAAATTACGCTTAATAAATCAGTACGCTTAGTTGAGCCTTCTAAAATTAACTTTTAAAAGTGTATCCACCCATCTACCAATATATAGTTAAACTTTTTTCTGGTTTAGCAGCCGCCTTCCTCACATTCACAAACGCGTGACATTATTATCCAACACATCCCTGATGCAGCATACTATACACGGCATCAGTTACAAGTTTCTGGCTTTATTTACTGCAGGAAGCGCGACGCGTTGTCAGAAAGCCGTCTTCCTCACTTTTCACAGCCCATGATCCGCGATGAACGGCTTCCGGCTTGTGCGTGATGTTCTAGCTGCCAAGACAAAGTCTCAATATCCTTTTTTCTCGGTGGTGCCCACCGCCTGATTGCAAGCGCTCGATCCGGCCAGGTAAGGGTGTGCGGCGGCGTCTTTGGCCGAGATCCTCTCACGAGGGCTGTAGATAAGCATCTTCAAAAGCAGATCTACCGCCTCGCAGTCCGCCTCTGGAAGCAGCTCGGCCACGATGTTCTTTCTCCACATCGGAAAGGTCGGCTTGTAGTTTGGTAGCTGCGTCACTTCTGGCCACGTGTCCGTTGTCGGCGTACCGAGGACGCGGAAGATGCGAAACAGCTGGTCGATCTCCGAATCCCCGCGGAAGAGGGTTTTACTGGTTAGCAGCTCGAAGAAGATGCACCCGATACTCCACACGTCCACCGGCGTCGAGTAACGACTGGCCCCCATGAGAATCTCCGGCGCCCGGTACCATAGGGTGACCACCTCGTGGGTGAAGATGTGGACGGGCACCGTGAAGGCACGGCACAAGCCAAAGTCGGCGACCTTGAGGCCGCCATTTTCGTCAATAAGAATGTTTTCTGGCTTCAGGTCACGGTGCAGAACCCGCCTTCGGTGGCAGAAGAGGATGGCGTTTACCAGCTGACCGAGGTACTTCTTAACGACGGCGCCGTTCAGGGTCTTGTTCTTGGGCTGAGTATCCAGGAGCTTCTTGAGGTCCATGGCCATGTACTCGAAGACCAAGTATATAGCCTTGGACGGCGGCATGACGACTTCTAAGAGACGCACTATGTTCTCGTGCTTTAGCTCCCGTAGGAGAGCCACCTCTCGTATCGTCGTAACTGGCACGCCTTCCTCTGCGCCATCGACTCGGATCTTCTTGATGGCCACGATCTTGTTAGTCGCCTTGCACTTTGCCTTGTAGACGATGCCATACGTGCCTTCGCCGATCTTCTCCATCATGACGTAGTTCTTTATCCTGTCATCGCCGGTCTCGGATGCCGTGCCTGCAGACATCGTGACGCTACGCCCAGATTTTTGGTCTAGAGAGCTGTGAGTGGCTGTCGAGAACCGTTGGAACAATACCGGTACGAGTGGCAGCTCGTGAAAGCTGACCACGTGCTTTGATGATAATAATGATGATGCCTCCACTATGGCTCTTGCCCACTCAGGGGGATTGGCCAAGAATTGAGGATAGGAAATTTAAAGCCTTTCGAATGATACATAATCCTAACAGGAGGAGGATAAAGCACACGTAAATACAGAAAGAGTGCAATATGTTTTGCTATTTTGACCAGACAAAATAACATAGATATCGAATTGAAATTGCAGTAATTTCGAACACGTTTAAAATTGACGTTTAGAATTTGCCTAATAATATAATAACAACAAATATGCAAATTGGAATTTAGAGGCGCATTCGTTTTGTTTCACGAAGATAGCTGCAAACGGCTTTAAAGGCATTGCTGTGGCTGTAGCCCAGAACCGAAGCTTTGCCTGCTTTTACATCTTCTTCTTCTCCTCTTCTCGTGGATCTTGTCCAATGCAGGGCATTGGCCATCGAAGGGGTTCGTTTTTTTCTTTTTTTTTCTTTGGTCGGTGTTCTTTTCACGTGTATGTTGCAAACACGGGCATAAATGTGAATCTAGTTTTTCATTGGCGGGATTGTAGTACGGACTTCAACAAGAACAGCGTGGGCAAAGTGGCCTTGACATAAAGGCAAGAAGACAAAAGATCACGAAAGAATGGATCGAGATCAAAGTTACAATAATATTATCCCTTGGCGTCACTTCATCAGGTTGCTGCCACAATGATGTATGCTCTACTGTGTTTGAATACATTTGAATACAAAGCAACAACAATTTTATCGTGTTATTCTATCCTTACTTTTTTCAGATTCTTAGTCTATAGTTCGAATTTTTTTTAGCGGGCAACAGAGATGACCTGGCCGCTTGTTCAGTAAGCATTTTTATTTCTTCCATGTTTTATCTCTAAACTAATTTTGCAGGTTGAATTCAGTTTCATTACTTTAAGCATCCTGCCACCCAGTTCTTTGCCCATCCTTCTTTGTGGGTGAGCGCCATCTATGTGGGGTCACCATCATGATCATCATGGCATTTATCAGACTCAATTTCTGGCAATCGTACTTGCACTGCGCAGATCGCCCAGTATCTGTCGGCAATCGCCATTATAACAGACTGCCTCTCTGTCTGTTGTCACTTAGGTGCGCCCAATTTGTAAAGTGCCTACGGCAGTGTATTTTCTTGAAAAAGCATGCAGATATTGCTGCTCTAAAAAAGTGTCAATTACAAAGCTACGATGTCGAGTCCTCCCATTGAACTTTAACCCTTACAAGTCTGGTGTGACTCAGCCACCTTTAACTGTGCCTTATCTGTAATGACAATGGGATTGAATCACTGAATGACTTTTTTTGGCAAGTCGAATGTTAAATAAAAAAGAAACATCTAGAAGAGCCATGGCTTACATGACAGCAATAAGGTTTAGAAACCTTTGTTTACATAATAAAATCAACTCCTCATTAAATAAATTTCGAGATTTCGCACATCTAAGATGCTGCTGGAATAGACAGTGGTGCGCAATACGGCAATTGGAAGTTACTTATACAAGATAGCGTTGTAGGATTCCGCAACTAAATTGTTATTCACATAAAGCTGGTCTAAAGGCGTCACCGTTACGTCAGGTTTGCGAAGAAATGAAAATAATAGATAATTTCTTTTTTTTTGTCGCCAATATTATTATCATCGGAAAAGATTCCTGGTAGTACCACTTGAAAAATTAGGATTAGAAATAAATGTGGCAGTAATTTTATTGTTTAACAGCATAAAATTAGGTTATAGCTACAAGGACGTCTGCTCTGCGGTATTTGACTAATAACTGAAACAAAGCGATTACCGTGTTAGTGTACATTTTTTACATATATATTCCGTTTCGGACCCAACACTACTTCTGTCTCGAACCACATCTGCTAGCCTGCATCCTTGCTCAGATATACTCCTTTTTCGATTATTATTTGATTTTGTGCTATTTACATATACCTTTTTTTTTTGGTCCAATGTTACTTTGTGTAGTACAACCATAAGCCCTTAACGTAAAGATCCTGCCACCCGTTTCTTGGTGCTGATGCTGACTTTTTTGGTGCACCTTAACACAAATGGAATGACTGCGTTACCGGACGCACACGTAAAACCGAAAAAAAACGTAAAACATTTTTTTTTTATTTTCTTTCTGGGTAAAGCGATCTGCTATAGCGAAGTAGTAGTTTGGGTTATGGTCTACGCGTCTGAATAGGATGATGATGCGCCAACTGCAGCTGATTAAGACATTTTTTCAGAATTAGCAGCACTGAGGCTGTACCTAATTAGCAGTGCTGAGGCTGGTTGGCTGTACTGACGCAGTGTGGCGCAATTTCAACAATTTTTTTTTAGTTCCGGCTTGACTCAGCGCAAAAGTAAGATATGTCACCCAATTGGCGAAAATTTGCACCAGTTCACCACGAATAGTTCCAATCACGCAATTAGTGATTGGAACTAAAACCGAGGTTCACTTGCAGAGTTGAACGTACCTCATACACGCCATCCCCGCGCAATAAGTTGCTGTGCCCATCTCGTGCGACGTGATCACGCTCACAGTAAATCGCTCCGTACATGCCATCAATACTAGGTTAAAATGAACAAAGTAAAAAAAGTAATATAACGTGCCCCGCATTTGTCACGCACAAATAACGCAACGAAACGTACTCACAGGTACAGATGAACGCGAATAAGCGTCTTAGTTGTTACTTCGCTGTGTCTGAAAAGCACGCTCTTTTCGACTGGGCAACAATTGCAGTGACCTTTGTGCGCCCGGTAACTACAACAGAGCAGAAGAAGGGCGCGCGAGTGAGCGTACAGGCGCTTTACGTCCACCCCCTCATATCTGCGAGGCAAAGTATGCGTGGGAGATTCGAGCGTGCGCCGACGAGCGCTCGTTGCGCTATCTTGCTGGTAATGCTGAAAACACAATAGTCCCCCCCCCCCCCCCCCCCGCGAGAGGCCCGACTGCAGCGGTAAGTGGAATATATAAATAGCTTGCTGGTTGAACGTGGAAGGACGAGCTGCTTTGTGGCTCGGTGGTTAACGCCTCGCAGTCACGTTTCGCAGGTTCAATGTTTCATTGCGTGCGCACCAGAGTCTCTTCCTGAATTTTTTTCTTGCGTTTTAATATATATATAAAATATATATATATATATATATATATATATATATATATATATATATATATATATATATATATATATATATAGATAGATCCGTGTTTTCACAAAATAATAATAAGATCTAACAGACAATAATGCCAAGGAATGTATAGGGGAAGGTATTACAACTAATGTAATTCTGTTCTGTTTTAACTGTTTTGCTGTGGAGAGGTTGAGGTTCCTATTGCCTCGGCTACTCCATATCACAAAGTTCTGCAGCGAAAAATAAAATAATAATACAGAACGGTACCCAAAAATTAACAATACGGAAAAGAAAAAAACACATAATACCACACTGAAACCAGTTCAAATAACATGCCAATACACAGTTCTCTTCACGCAGTTCACACAGTCATAAACTACTTACACGCACACCTTACTAATCTAATGTCAGTATATACATGACCACATTTTACATAATACCTATCTCTGGCTGTCAGTCATAGGCGCTTGTCCAGCCCAGTCTCCACTAAAAAGTCTGTCAGGAAGATTATTGCCTTTTTCTGGAGATGCATCTCAGGCCACGGTCCAAGTAGTTTCTTTATTGTGAGGGGCCGTCTGTCCAAACTTGCCAATTTGTTCTTTAATTTTTCTCTTTCATTCGCGTATTTAACGCACACCAAAAGAATATGGCGAACATTTTCTTCTGCATGATCACAATGGCATTCCGGTGAGTTGGATCGATGTATCTTGTGCAGGAAGCTGTTTGTGTATGCTACTTCCAATCTAAGTCGGTGGATCAATGTCTCTAGGTGTCGTGGGAGGTCTGTCACTATGGAAAATTTTCTGTTTGGATCAACTTCATAAAGTACCGTTTCCTTTGATTTAGGGCTCTCAAACCACTTCTCCATCGAACAATGGTTAGCTCCTTGCGATATAAAATGTCGAATATCCGCCCCAGGCATAGGGATTGTGCAATCCCGTCCTTCCTTCAATGCTTTCTTCGCGAGACTATCAGCATCTTCATTTCCCTTTATTCCAATGTGGCTGGGTATTCATTGGAATACGATGTTGTGACCCTGCGATGAGGCATATTCCACAATTTCTGCGATACATTGTGCTATTTCACCATTTTTGTGAGGTGATCTCACATTTCTGATTAACTGAAGAGCAGGTTTGCTATCAGTGCATATCACCCATTTTCGTGGCTCGGGATTCTCGCAGATAGTCTTAACTACTTCAAAGATAGCCACCAATTCTGCGGTCGTCGTTGTTGTTGTTGTTGTTGTTTCCCTGTGAAAATGGCTCGTACCCAAAGAAGGGGATTGGCCGATTATAAGGTGAATTTGCCCTAAACTTTCAGCAATGCGTCATTCCTACAAATTTTTTGTAACCTAATTTTGATTTGAAATACCGATATCAAGTTTGCAGAAAATAAAGAAGAAAAATAGTGAGACAGTAATTTAGCAAGAAAATCGTTTAATCGCAGTGATGTATTCTTGAACGGCGAATCGATGAAGATTTGTGCGATAATTTGTACATCTTCTTTTTCTGAATTTCGGGTATAAAGACCGCACAGGCTGATGCTTCTTCTGTGCATGATCCGTCTGTATATATCTTCGTTTTTTCATTATGCATTACATGAAGCTGATGAAGTACCAACTGTGCCGCTACTAGAGGTGTGCCGCTACTAATGTAATGTAAATAAGGAGAAAAAAAGCGGGTGAAAAAGAACTTGTCGTGAGCATATATACGGTGAGCCACGTCGACGCTGGTGGAAAAATCCAGCCGAGAGTTAGTTCATGCACAATGTCACAGACGGTGCATAATGTTCTGTAATTTTTTACGGTTCACTTTTATAATTAGCATTTTTTAGTTTAGATTATAGTGCGAAGCTCCATAAGGAGTCACCCTATCGTCCTCTGTAGGAACCACCTCACTCGGGTATGTGCTACCGCGGAGTTTAGTTCTTGGAATGTCCGCTACATCGCGGTACTTGTATATAACAAGTATGTGATGAAAAGATGCGAGATGGTGGTACTTGTAGTGTTCGCTAGATGGGCGGACATACAGACAGACGCACGGACGGGCAGATCGACCCACAGTTGGAAGGACGGCCGAATTCACGAACAGGCGGACGGACGCTTCGGCCCACTCATCATCATTCAGCCCGTGGATATGCTGTGATTTTTTTTCTAACTTGTAACTCACGCATGGAGTTTTATGTAAATTGATTCAATACTTTTTGAAAAAGGTACAGTGAAGTGAAAAACTTTATAAAAAACGCAATTTCAAAAAAAAGGAAGTTTTACGTGCGCATACTGTTTACGCCAGAGGGCACAAAGCGCACTTCGGCGTGTAATTTCAACCGCTTGGAACGGCCGCTCAACGTTGGACTTCCAGATGTTTGTTCCTCAAAGTACATGCAATTAATTTTCTGGTGTCAAAATTATAAACTAAGTTCTTGGGGGGTTTAACGTACCATACCACCTTAATAAAGCGCTTTACTGTAGGTGTCTACAGGCATCCGAAATCTGCTGAAGTACATCAGTACATATCTCCAAGAAACACATTAGGCAAAAGAGCCGGCGAGACTGGCGCAAAATTGCAATGCCGCAAAAAGTGGTTTTCTTGGAACAACGGCAAGAAAATACATTGCACAAATCAGATGCACCAAGCAACGCATCAGCCTTCTTCCTTTTTTCTCAACATAAACGTAGTTTTACAAGATACACGTGGTTCTATTCGCAAATAGCGGAGTGTTTACTTATCGTGAAGGAAAAACGCCTATTGAGAGTGCAGTGCCACGCACGTTTATAAGTTCATTGTCCGACCTTATACGATAACAAGTCAGGAGAGCACACGTCTTTATTTTAAAGCTAGAATGAAATGCGTTCCAGATTGTACCAGTTGAATGACTCAGAGGATTGTAGTATGGACAAACACGTACCTTCGGGTTACGAAAAGGACGGATGTCGACGTCGTCTCAACTAATGGCACTTCGCTCTTTAGATGTCCTTCGGATGGGAGAACACTCGCACCTTCGGTCTATTGTAATTGTCGCACCAAGTAGGCACGCAACATCGCTTCAACGTGCAGATTTGCAGAAGTACACTGTGCGAATATACAGTGCGCGCATCCCCATATATACGCCACGCTTCGCCGACACAGAAAAGCCAGTTGCCAACAAGCACACCAGCACGCCACGAAAGCGTTCGTTGGGATTGGCAATCAATTTCAGTGGAGCGGCGTGAATAAACGCAAGCATGTCTATGAATCGAAATGTTGCGTTGAAAACTGAGTGACGTCAGAGCCTGAGGCAAGTACAGTGAGCAGGCCTGCAATTATCGAGGTGGCATTAGACCATCGCATCGGCGCAAAGCAGCCTATCTTGCTGTTGACTCCTCCGATAGCCCACCCCATAAAGGAACGCTTTTTCATAGCCTATCGGCAGATGTAGCTATGCACGCAATATAATTTTATTCTTGTTTCTGTTTTCTTTTTTCCCTGAAGTAGCGAGCAAACATGTCACCGATGCCCACAAGAACATGCTTTTTGTGAGGCTACCGGGCGCGCCAGTTGCGGAAAACGGAATGTGCTTGTCACTTTCTATAGATCGATGGTCTCGGTAAAAACGCAGCGCCGCGTATAGCATTCTTGCCGTTCCTGCAACGCACTACAGGCAATTTTTTTTCTGTTAGTACTGTCCATTAGTGTATTACATTTCACGCAAAAACTGGTTATAGCAGAAGTATGAACAGCGTTTGGCTGCGCTGTTAGTGACAGCTTGAAAACCTTTGTCCAAAAAAACCTTGTTAAAATCAACGCTGTTTGGTACAAGAGACCGAATTTCAACCTAGCTTGCGCGAGTGTTGAAAAAACAAACAGCGCAAAAAAAACGAGAGACCAGGCGAAGAAGTACACTGCTAATATGCTCTGTATGTGTACTTTTTCGTCTGTCTCTCGTTTTTCGCACTGTTTTTTTTTTCAACCATGTTGTACCAACACGCCCAAGCGACCACTTTAGTTGCACAAGGTGAGAGACAGCGCATGCCCACAAAGCGCACTCTACTGGGCGCATTGTCTGTTAGGCAACGCCTCCTTGAAGACTTTAAACCATAGCACGAGGGGGGAAGGGGTTTCTGTAGCGTGTAATCAAACTTTAATGCCGCGAATGCCTGCGGCAACGCTCACCTTCGTAGCATGAAATACGTTCGAAAGCATTTCACCACTCACGCGGCCAGTTCATTTGAAGGCCGCTAATTTGGGGCGAAGTATACGATGGTGTCACCTGAGCACACTTTGTGCGCATGTGATTCTCTCTTTCACCCCGGCTGCAACTTGGCAGCGTCATATGGCGCTGACGCACGGAGAAGTCATGCACCGCTCAGGCAAGAGAGTTAAATATCTGGTTAGCCGTACGGGAGCCTAAACAAAGCGATGTTTAAAGCAAGGGAATGCTTGCCAATGATTATATTTGTGTGAACGATCTACACTGGCAGAGGGAAAATATTATAGGTCACCGTAACAACAGTCTCCTTTCCTCTTTAGTAAAACAGCGTGGAGTAAGATCGTGTCCTCATGGAGGCGGGAATGATGTAGGCCCGTGGGCTCAGATTTGGGTGCACGTCAAAAAAAACCAGGTGGTCGAAATTTCCGGAGCCCTCCACTACGGCGTCTCTCATAATCGTATCGTGCTTTTGGAACGTTACACCCCACATATCGATCAATCAATCAATCAAGATCGTGTCACCCCTCCACCCAAATGGCTCACGTTAGCATCACCGGTAAACTGACGTGCTGTAAGTTGTAATACGGATGCGGAAAGGCAGAAATACACTGTTTACTCCCTTTAACGGGCGCATTGTCTCTTTCACGGCGAAGCCAATTCCTTTACAACCTATGCAAAACAATGTACATGCAGAATTATGCATTTTATACTTCAAAAACATGTAGCGGCACACTGATAGCATCCTGATGGGCACGCTTCGCATTCCCTGGTGTATTAAAATGTACTGGGTGGCTCCGTATGTTGCAATGCATAATGTAGCACCATGACGTAACAGCATTACATGCTATTGTGTATTGAAATCTCATGTCTCTCAGTTTCAGTATCTAGAAGGAGTATACATATCCTATAATGATTTAATGCAACCTAGCTACTTTTTTGAAAAATGTTGTTTCGTGTAACTTCTACAAAGCATTCTGTTCTCGATAGTTATATCTGCTAAAGACGCGCGCATCACCAATGCATCTTCTTTCCGTAAATGATACTAACACTGCCTCATGATTCACCATCACTTAAATAATTGTAGGTATTCTTAAGGATAGGTTGAAAAAAACGTTTATGACGTTGCCCCGTAGTTGAAATAATCGGAGCACTTACCTGGTTGTAACGTATCAAGTTTTCTGCGAATCCGTAGTTGTACATAATAAAATTTTGCGCTCTGTACATCTGAAACAGCAAAGCGTACATAAGCCACGTCGTATACTACACGGAGAACGTTATGCCAGTGTCTAGTTAGTTTCTCATCGCTCCCCAAACGAAGCGATTATTACGAAAAAAAAAGAATATAATTAGCCATGCTCTTCTTGGTAGAGATACTTTGCAATAATACGTCGAGAAATTATGTTCATTTGCCTAATCATAGCCCTAAGATTGCTCAAGACGTCTTGCTTCTTGCTTGATATCGTTTTAAGTGTGTACTCATAAGATAAAGCAAAGTTTTTCAACACTCACCCAAGTCGCATCTACATCGAACTACACCAGATGATTCGTGTAAGCTATGTAGCACGAAACACGCCACCTTATGGAAGACATTTTATGACGCTCCCAAATACACGATTAAAATGCAGTCTTCTCAGAACAGCTTGGGGCGCAGCGGAAAGCCGCGCTAATCAGCTCAGATCGGCGAGATCGAATTCGGGCTATCGAAGCAGCCGTCCGCCTAGTTGGAACATATTGAACTTAATGTTTTTGCACAGGCACAAGGAGACAGTAATGAGAAAAATCAAGATGAGCTACTCAGCGAGCACGTGAGGTGGTTGGGAAACAGCTATTCAAACCAGTGTATCGACACAGGGTTTGCCCATCACCCTTGGGGCGGTCTATAGGCTGCTCCAAGGGTGGTGGAGAAAGCCTGCATCAGTCCACTGGTTCGAATAATGTTTTTTCTCTCACTAACTCACTCACTCACTCAAATTGAAACATGTGCAAAGAAACTTGTTTTTTAGAGCAAAATTAGTCTGAAAGAGTAACAGCACCTTCTAAGTGAGAGCTACATCGCTACATGATAATAATATACGCCATTAATCACTGTGTTCTGCGTGGCATTCTCTTACCTGCCAAGTTTAGCGCGGCTGCTGTGATGCTAAATGGAGCAGGTAAGAATACGTTCCATATGAGTCTCCGAAACGTAGCACGTGAAACTAAGGGCATCGAAGCTTCAGTGTCTCTTCAGTCTTCGACTAACATATAGTATGATATAACTGACACAGCTGATATCACAAAAATGTCCGCTCACGTTCCGTGATGTTGGCATATTCCACCGATAAGAGAGAACGTGACGGCCCTGTAAGCCAATTGAATTCGACGAGATGGCGAATTTAAAAGTATACGACACCACCCGCCGGTCCAGTCCACCAAAAACATGACAAGCATTCTGGGCTAACACGCGGTGCCTTCCGAAAAATCTTACGTGTTTTTTTTTTTAAATTAATTTTCTGTGCAGTCACTCAGTCAGTCACAATAGTAGTCAGTCACGTGAGGGGGCTAAATTTGGAGGCCGCTTTTTTTTTTTTTCAAGCGCAGAGAGAACCTTCCTAGGCTCTCCTGTAGAAACTATTCTTCGTTCCTATGGTATTGTTTATTTGATGAAGATTTCAGGGTAGCAAAATGAAACAGCTTTAATAGTTAAGGTCACGTGCATATATATTTGTCAATAAAACTATACCCGCCACGTTCGCTTACCTGTGTATAATGAATTATATTGCGTATTGACGTTCCGGCTGGCATATGGGCAAGGTACACAGGTATCCGTGTCTGAAAAGCAAATAATAGCCCAGTACCACTAAGAGCCCAGTAACACTAACACGAATCAAACGAATAAAATTTCAAGAGTGCGCTTAAACTAATACATATTTAAACTATATGAACATATTCCTTCTTCCTCACTACTATCTTGCTTACCTGACCAACTAATCCATTGAATCAGTTCAGATATGACCATAATGTGATTTCTTATAGGTTGTTCAATAAATCTTACAGTATAATTTAACTGACTTGTAGGATAATTATCAAGCCAACATTCCTCTTAGATTGCTACTCGCGCTTTCTAATTATTTCTGGCTCCATTTACTAAGAAATCGATATATTACGCCTTGTACAGCACACTTCTCAGCACTATTTCCTTTCTTTTCCAGCTCAGTGCTCGCCTCAAAAATCGCTCAAGAGTTTATTTAGCGGTAGTAATTGTATGCATTACTAGATTGTACTTAGTCTTCCTGTGGAAAGACGCTATACATACCTTGTTCAACTGCTCGCGGCTCGCCCCCACGGCAATGTTAACTGGAAGGAAACAGGCTCCCCGAAAGACATTGTTGCAAAACTGGTTGATGAGGAACTGGCTTGTTTCACTGGACGTCAGCAGTGCTCCATTGGTGAAGTAGTGCAACACGGACTGCGCAGTCAGTGCCACGCATTTAAAAAATGAATTAATGGGTGACTTTGGACGTTTGATGTCTCATTATGTGATTGTTGAGAAAATACGTACTGATCCAGACGGAAAAATACAATCCAATGACATCAAGCACAACGTTAACTATATGACACTTTACAAATGACATGTGATAACTGCAGCTGCTACTATCACCCAGTTTCTCCATGAGCGGCCTCACTTAAGTGCACCAAGATAAAAACTTCTAAAAGTGTTAGATAAACTAAACAATCACCACTTGTCGAAGGGAAGGGTCTTGGGACAGTGGCTGCACTCATCCTCAGAACAAAAGGCTTTGAAAGCATCACTGCATTTTTTTCCTACAAATGGTCCTAAAGAAAAAGCTTAAGCAGTGTCGCTCATTGTATTGTTTTATTTCTCCATTTTATCATTACTTATTTTGTTGTAACATTCCTTTTTTGTCACTTTTCACTGACCAACGTCCTAGTCCTTCCGTCCTTCGCTTCATTTTCTCTTTTATTATGGGTGTAACAGTGGTGTGTGCTTAACAAATTTTGCTAGTACTAAGCGAAGTTCAACTAGTTGGCATGAATTGCCCGTAAAACTAGATATAATGCATTGCTGGGTGAGTTGGTGCATCGTACAATAATATTAGTAGAGTGCAAAAAAAATGAAAGAAGAAACACAGTAGACAAGTATAGACAGGTCTCTTTTGCACTCTGCTTTTATTTTAGACAACGAGGTAGGTGTGTGAACAAGGACGTGATAGCGGGTAAAATAGAGCCACACGAACGCCGAAACAGTGTCAGTCTGAGTGTATTAGAAATGAAACCAGGAAGAAAAAAAATGGGACGCTTAGTAGGTATGCATAAAACGGCTTGTTGATGTTGACTGTTTTTATTACTTTGCATCCGTGCCTGCACTGCGGCAGTTTTTCGACGAAGATTTCTTTGCAAGTTGATCTTTTTTTTTGGTAGGTGTTATTGCGTATGAAACACTTGCCTGACAGTAAGTGCGAATTAAGTAATAATGATCTGAGAAACAAACAGCAAATCCCTCACTAGGCTCACTAAAGAGCCTCACTTATGAAGAACTCTTAGCAAACTTCTAGAAGAAAAAGTTGGCACCGTATTTGCATGTTAATCTACAAATGTCATCGAAAGACGATTGTCTTGCGTGTGGAGAGAGTGAACAAAATATTTATTTGATATTCTGCACAAGAAAATCGGTGAATGGTATTTTGGAGGCGCTGCATTAGAGTGCCTCGAGCGTGCAGTGGAGGCGAACGAACGCATCAAGTCACGTCACACGTGAGACATGAGTGCCACCTGGCAGTTTTCTTGGAAAACGAAGCGCGTGGCTCTGAGACGGGTGTGTGCGGCCGTCTCAGAGGGGATAAGATGTATAACGCAAGGCGATGGGTAGGTGCCACCAGCGTCTCGTCTTAGCAAAGCGTTGGAAACACTCGCTTTTTCGTGCATGCGTTGCATGGTCAGCGCAGCGTGATGAAGCTCTACGGTCCTTAAAATTGCTCATGTATGTATTTTCTAGTAAAAGACGCACATGCAGAATATATACGTGTTGTTATGGTGCCCCAGACATGCACAATATTTGCTTTTTAACGGACAATTGCACAAGTATGAACGCTAAATCTTGAGCAACATTGGTGGGCGCTGCGAATGGGGTCAGCCGTTTCAAGTACCCGGTGCCATTAAGAATGGACAAACAGACAAATTCACAGACAGAAAGACAGACAGACAGACAGACAGACAGACAGACAGACCAAAATTTCTGCGTCAAAGGTCGCCAAGAAAGACTATCGTCTTTAAAAAGGGTGTGATCACTCACAGCGACTCTCTCGGCAACAGGGCCCAGAAGGGTGAGCGGCGTTTCGATGTGAGAGATGTTTCCAACTGGTGCGTAGGCTGCCACAAGATTTATCTGTCAGAAACAAGCAAAACACGGGTGGTTTCTTAGAGCTGCTTATCGCTAACTGCTGGTATGGTATTAGGAGTTATAGTTCACTGTAAGCGTGTTATTTTTATATATTTTCTTTTTCTGCCATTGCCTATTTCCCTGCGCGAATCAATTACCCTTTCTGCGTCGTTTGCCTTCCTTTCAAGTCGAGTATCCCATTGTCACACTGCGTCATACTTCATGTGAGTCCACCCATTATAATCATTCATTTTGTTCACATACGTCATTGATGGCTTTCATCACCGAAGATATGTGTATTAGTGTTCCTTTTTGGCTTAGCTCGTCAATGTCGTGGCGCATAAATGCAAACTTCACTCGACATTAAAGGTATCACGTTCATTGTACACATTACATGATAGTGCACCTAGCACGAATGAATGATAACTACAACACACATGGTTGTTGGTAGTGTGGCCTTGAAACACCGCTTCACTGATAAAGCCTTGCATCACATCAGTATCAAACACGTATGTTCAAGTCGATGGTTCGACGATAACTTCTCTGGTCTGGAGAATCCGTGGTGGAGATAAACAGAGAAAATTGACGACCGTAAGAAAACAGTTCAAAATTATTAGGCGGTTCCGGCTTCCATAAGAATGCCTCATTCAAAGGCAGGTAGCTCCTTTTTTTTTTTTCACGTATACATAGAACCACTTGTATATATGAAGCTTTGGTGCGAAAGCCCAAATGTCTTAATGGTCTTGAACCATTTCTTATGGTCACGTAGCACGTGCTGTTACTACAAGCTCGCAGCTGACCAATAAAACCTCGTATGCAACCGGAAGGCATAGCCGAAGGCATCAAGTCTGCAAGAACGAGACCATCGCTATGAACGATGGGAAGCATAAATTTAAAACCTCGTTTTTCTTGATAGACACAATAATGATGAAAATTGTGAGTTCTGATCAATATTGTGTCTAAACGGGTAAAAGATCCCTCAAATTTACCTTCCTTCTTTCTCTTCTGTATGCGTGTTGAATTTGGTATTTGATGCTGGTTGTTTGTTTCTTCACAACTGCTGTCAAAATATCAAAGGCTACAGCTAATGCCGTACAAGAAAATGATTCTGTGCAGCCCACTATAAAGCACGAGCAAACACATGAGCAAAGCAAGCTCACTCTATCAATGGCTATTCAAAACACGGGAGGAAGTGTCACGCACCTTGGCGTTGTATTCGGGTCGCGTTGAGAGAAGCACCAAAGTTTCCGTGAAACCCTGGGACCACACAACCAGACTGATGTTCATAAATCCCGTAACCTGCGTAACGTAGTCGATAGTCGCTGCCAAGTCGTAGCGGCCAATTTCGTCGAAGCTGGAAATAAAAAAAAAAGAATTGTACTGTAGTACCTGTAGATAACGAGTAAATCTTCAGACCTCTTTTCGCTCGCTTGCATTGTTCTATGATGCAGTCACTGACAAAACCTGTTTTTGTCAAGTACTCTGTTTTAGAGGCAAATCAGGTGTACTATTACAAGTGAACGCAACATATCAAACAAAACAGGACACACTATATCACGGATGCACCCACCAACTCGCGTTACAGCTTTAGGCAACACTATCTGAAAACACCAAAATTAAGAACGAATTTTGGCAAACATTTACAAAGTTACCAAGCACCTTCACTACTCAATAGAATAAGTGAATTTCACGGCGAAGCTGCTGTATGTATTTTAAATTTTCTTTTAAAATATTGCTCATTTCACAAAATATTGCGTTTGTCTGACAAGGCTGCTGTATGTATTTTCAATTTTCGTGTCTTAATTGCAAATTTTAGTTGTTGACTTGGGCAAAATGACCTATCAGTGTATACGTAACATTTTGTTGTGGTTGTTTCTTAGCAGACATAACGCGTTTATTCTCGATTTTCCACTGTTTTGTACACATTTTCTTTTAATTTCGTGACTATTCAGTCACGAAATATGTCTGTACAGGTTACTTTGTATTGACTTGCGCTATGTACTGCCTGCGTGCCGAGCTGTCGTAGGACCATAAGCCTTTGTCAGGCCATATGGCCTTTAGCATCTGCTTCCTTTCAGTTATAAACAGAAGAAATAAAGTCAATTCAAAAATTAATTCGAATAGTTTGCAAAGTAAGGTAAGACATTATCGATCCGGCGTAGTGGTGTCCGCGATTATTTTAGACTCTGACTAAAATGATAGTTGTTTCATGCTATTGCCACGTTCCATTTCTCAAGTTATGTGATCGCACCAATACACTACAGAATTCTCAGCGCAAACCGCGCCTGCAGATTTCGAGAAACTTCAGGACTATAGTAGACCATTTTGATAAGATCACGCCCACTCTGCGAACTGTACAGATTATTCTGGAACTACGTCACCGCCAGCGATAACGCTAGAACATTCGATGGCAAGAGTATAAATGTCAGTATTTGAACGACGGCCTGACGCTCCGTTGCACTACTATCGGTGCAAGACTGCTACTGTAATCACACTTTCCGTTTACCGGGCACAGGTTCACCCAAATAAACAGCTGAATCCCAACATAAAGTCTCCTGTCTTCGGCCACGTCACGACCCCGTGACACTATTATGTAGATCACATTAGCTTGTGAACCGCAGGTGCTCGTCTGAACAGAGCATCAATACAATGCACAAGCAGTGCTGACTGTGTGATTTGGTGCATGATAAAATCATATTGCTTAAGCGCAGTTCAGTTTGAGCGTGAAGGAAAGATGCTATGCAGGTAAGGAAGAAAACAAAAAAAAAAGACTACAGCATGAGCGCTCACACTGTCGCCTGTTTTTTTTTCCCCCTTTTTTACTGCAAAGCATCTTTTATTCCCGCTCAAACTGAACTGCGCTAAAGCAATATCATTTTATCGTGGTGCACGCTTTCAGTGTATGTAGCCTGCTCGATATTCACCTCATTGTTGTCTGTGTTTGCGCATACGTGCGTTGTAACAAGCTCAAGTGTTCTCTCGGTATACGTTTTTTTATCACCTATTTTAAATAAAGCTTCGGGCGGGTGAAAAACACTTTTTGGCAAAAGCCTAGGCAGAATTTGGGGGGGGGGGGGGGGGGAGGTGGAGGCGGGGGGGCACCTCTTTATTTTGAAGAGCGAGCCGGGCAGGCAAAGACATTTTGCGCTATGTATGCAATCGGAAAAAAAATCGGGGAGGGGAGGGGAGGAGGGCATGGCCTTGATGTGCCCGTCCCTGGCTACGCCACTGCTTTCTGTACTTGTCCAACACCATATGCGAGTTTTTACTACCTCCATTCCCAAAATTCCGGGTCCTTCGTAGTGAGTGTCTTGTGGTAGTTGGAGTAAGGCGTTCCCCTGCAGTTGACAAGCCACACGTCAAACCCTCTGTCCGCTAGAAGAAAACCTGCGCGTGTAAAAAACATCTTAAAGCACGTGTCATTTATTCCAGAAGCTACTTTTGCTTCGTTATAGATACGATGTCGTCGTCACATTTAAACATCCAGTTTAGAAGCTGCAATCGCTAGGTAAAAGGATCATATCCAAGTAAACTGCTATAGAAACTACAAAAGCTTTAGAGATGAAAAGACTGAGTCTACTGTTAAGTGTGACAGCTTCCTCAAAATTATGACATACTATAGAGAAAGTCGTCCGTTTTCTATCAAGACGTGCTAAGCACTTTCAGTGTACTTGGTCATTTCTTCGTTTCGTTCAGTTAGCGCATATCGTCCGCTTGTTTTAGTGCAATCAGTGCCTAGTCTGCGCACTCAAGAAATTATTCTTCAGTGAATAGGTTATCTAACCAACGGTTAAGTGTGAGAGCTTCCTCAGAATTCTGCTATACCAGAGAAAGTCGTCCATTTTCTATCAAGACGTGTTGAGCACTTTCAGTGTACTTGGTCATTTCTTCGTTTTGTTCAGTTAGCGCATATCGTCCGCTTGTTTTAGTGCAATCAGTGCCTAGTCTGCGCACTCAAGAAATTATTTTTCCGAGAATAGGTTCTCTAACCATACCAGTCGCTCTTTCGCATCGCACGTGCTCTGCCGTGGAATTCGCTGTCATAACGAACCAACATGCTCAACGCTTTGATCACCTTGTTTCATCTCGTTTGAGTTTCCCTTTCCGTGACGCTTTCCAGTAACGACAACACCTCGCAGGTAAATCATACCTGCGCTCTGGTGAGGCTTGTTGAGGACGAAGTCAGCTGCCGACGAGATGATCCCGTGAACTAGCAGCACGGGCGGCCTCAAGTTGGGAGTGTCGCCTTCCACACCGTATGGCATCCTGTCCAGTTCAAGGATGTAGTCGTCTTCCGTGATCACGTGGTGCACTTGGACCGGGTAGCCGTTCTTGTGCATCAGGCCAGCCTGAGTGTAAGTGTCGAAAAGTGCGAGGTTACGCTGATCATACCGCATCTCACTGCGTCCCTTGTGCACGTTAAAGAACCCCAGGTGGTCAAAATTTCCGGAGCCCTCCACTACGGCGTCTCTCATAATCAAATGGTGGTTTTGGGACGTTAAACCCCACAAATCAATCAATCAATCATCACTGCGTCCCTTTTTTTTTTAAACCGAGAGCCTTAGACGCGTCATCAAACACAAAAAAACTGACATTTGGTGACGCTGGCTTTAACGACAAGTGACGGCAATTAACTATCATCATGTGATGACTTCGTCATGACGCGACATGTAAGCCATAGCGACGTCGTTATGTCGTCACCGTGACGTCACTACGACGTGAATCAACGTGAAAATATATAATATCTCGGGCATGCCAAATGGGGTCTTAAATGCTGCAGTTGCTACCTTTTTTACTAACTTCCTTTTAAGAGTGTAGCGCACAGAACTTCGCCATGCAACGTGCAGAATTTGACCCCCACTGCTGTAATTCTTCCGCGAAATGGCGCGAGTTCGCTTTGCACGTGCGCAGTGCGGCGGCCGAATCCGTAACGTGTATACTACTATATAAGGCGCACGTGCGGAGCTTCCCGACTCGGTCACTCGACGTGAATCGTGACCGCACGCTACCGATAAGATAGCGTCACGGGTCACCGTCCTATTCTCCTGAAAGAGTGACCAAGCTGCGAATCACGGCACTCGTCCGAAAAGCGGAGCCACCGCGTAAAAAAAAACGTCGTTTAAGGAACAGAGCGTTTCGGCTTCCGGGAGCTCGTATAGCCGTTTACTTGCGTACACTAATTGACAACGTAGATAAGAAAGGTGTTCTTTTTTCGACAACGGATGTATGCAATGGTCAGTTGCAAGAACGTTACTTCTTAACGATGCCCTAAAAGTGACATCTTCAAACAACCCCGACACAGTAGTTTTGTGGCCATGGTGCTCAGCTGCTAACTCGCACGTCGCGAAACAATAATATTATCAAGGTTCTTATGTCCCTAAACTAATATATGAAAAGGTGAACGCCGTAGTTTAGAGAGAGAGAAAGAGAGAAAAAAAACTTTATTTCCAAATGGTCGGGCCCCTATTCCAGGGCTCCGCTGGATCTAGCCATCATCTCTACCCGTTGGACCAGCCAGCGCTGATCAGCAACCGCCGAGCTGTTTCGCTCCCTGCCCTCCTCCGTAGTGGAGGGTTCTGGAAGTTCGAGCCATCTGGTGCAGTTTAACGTGCCCTGACATTGCACAGTTCACGAGCCTTCAGATCAGCAGCCGAGCTCCGTAAGCACCAATCCACTGTGGTGGAGAGGTCACGGGAATCGAATCCATGCCGATGCTGCCGCATTGTCAATCCATATCACCCGCATTAAAACCCAGAAGATTGTAGGGTGGCAACCCGAACACTTGCAGATACTACCGAAACATGCATCTTTCATACACTTAAAGATGCGGTTATTATAAACATTCGTGTGTTAGCGAATCAACCGTTGACAACATCAGCTCGCCAAACGCTTGCAGCTCTGGCATCGCTGACAGAGCTTGTCTCAGGTCTAGATCAAAGTAGCGAGCGTGATACCAGTGCGTCGACGTGGAAGATGTTTACACGAGGCGCTCAACCGCAAGCCGGTGCGGAATGATTGACAAGTAGCCATTTACCAGTGAGACGATAGTCGCGAGCAGCAGGAGGTGTGTCTCGCAAACGGCGAAATGGCGGCTTTGCGCCACTGCAGCCTTAAATGGCTAGGTGCTTATAGAAGGGGGCGGGGGACTACGGGCATTGGCGGACAGAAAGATGACGAACCGTAATATCCAGAGCCCGCGTGTTCTCGGGCGCACGTATGCGGTCGCCTGTGGCTTTTTTCATCTAGTATTGTGTACAAGATTATCCGCTATAAGCGACCCAGTCTCGCGAAGCTCGATCCAACAGAATAGCACCTCGAAGACGTGCGAAAAAAAGAAGAAACGCCCCGAAAAATTACGGTGACAAAGACAACAACTCAGTCTTACTTGAGGAGCATAACTAATATAATTCGAGGTGACGTCTGAAGCACTCCGTTGTGACAAGCTATGACAGGGTGAACGTCCCGAAAAGGAACGTTTGACACACCGAGACCCATACTCGGAGTGGACCTGTAAAACTACCCCGAGAATCAAATTCTCGTGGGCGTATGTCTTAATGGCAAGAAGGCCAACAAAGCACGCAGTGTTCCATGACGCATCCTTAGAGACGAGGACGCAATTTGTCTATGCTCCGTACGAGTGTCCATCACAGTAACTTGATTCCATACACTTGGTACGTGCGTGTTGATGTGGTCATATGGTGCCAAATTGTGAGTGTCAAAATGAGGACGCGGTCGTGAAATGCCTCGAATGCACCGTCGCTGTCATTACGTATAGTCCGAGTTATAGATAGGTCAGCTGTGCAGCTTTTTTTTTTACGAAGCTTTGAGCGCGAGGAGTGCGATGCCAGAGCGGAGTGGAAGCTCAAGTTAATGACAATAGAAACCAGGCGGGCGTCGACAGTTGAGTAGCGACAACAATATCCAAGAGCCAGAGAACGTAACTGTGTAGGTGCTGCAATTGATCGTACTGAAAAACCAGCATATATATTCGCATGGACAAAATATGAAGCAGTCAATTTGACCTATTTCATACGTTTCTGAAAAAGAGATAGAAAAAAAAACACTTGAGAAAACACACATTTTAAGCAACAGGACTCATATATCTCACCTAATGTCTATAGAATGTCTCGTAGGAGTAAGTCATAAAGTATTCGTTAACTGCGGTCACGTAGGCGCCAGGCAGGCATGCCGTTCAATCAGTAAGTTTTGGCGAGTGCAAAACGATCGTTGGCCGATGAAAAGCCGTATGACTTTTTGATAGGGCAACGTGATATAACCATTTTTCTCCAAGTGTGGAAGTCAATATAAACATTTATGTTTTGTTTCGAAGTACTAATAAAGAACTCTGTGTTTATTTCCCAGCCTCGGCATATTAGCACAATAGCAAAGCAAGATCCGTTTATAGCAAAACGTCCGGACGAGCACAGGAAAAAGTCAACCAATCGCTGCTTCCTCGCTTAAGTCCTGCTTGCTACAATGAAACATCAAGCTCAGGCGTTTGCTGAAGTTATCAGTAATGACGTTGTAAGACGTGCATAAGTCCTCCCTGGACCACTTTTCATAAAGAGGAATAGTCTCATGTGGAATTTTATTTCTAACGTATTGCTACGCACGGCCACCATTCACAAGATTTCGCTATACTGTGTGAATCTTTCAGTCAACAGTCGATGCTTAATCAGGCTGTATTTCGTTTTGTTCTGACGTCTGACATTTGTGTCTATTCCATCTCATACGTCATAAACTAAGCCAGTGGCGTATGTCCAGAAAAATATCGAGGGACCGCACATGTTGTCACGGCAGCCATTTTATTTTTATAGGTTTTATTTCACATGTTCAAGAAATGAAAATCTCGCTTGGAAATAAAACTTTGAAAACAAGCATTGTTTCCCACTTCACGTACTTGCATTGTACAATTGACCTGGATGGTATCAAGGTGAAATCTCATATCCTGAGCAAATACATGGTGGTTGGTGTAATATACACTGTTGATGTCGCCATTCTTGATGGCCATCTTGCGATGCTGATCAATGGAAGCGAGTGATCACACCATGATCGTCCGAGTATCACGCTTGGGTCAGTCACATTGCGTGTAGAATATTTTCAGAAGCGACACTTTGCCACCCCACGCGAAGGTAAGACACTTTCTAGATGTGGTTCGTCCGTTTACGCCGAAACCACAACATTTCAGCAAGTGTCAGAAAATGGGTCACGCGAGCAGAGTTTCCAGGAACGTGGTCCTTTGCGCCCGACGTGTAGAGTCTCACAATGCAGAACTATGCCGAGTAACTGTCCTGGAATACCCCTAATGCCACGGATCGCATGGAACTTAACCAAGAGACCACCCAGCAGTGAAGAAAGAACGGAACGAAATGAAACCGATGGGAATGGATGTTTCAACACATAAAGAAGCCGCTGAAATTGTCAGAAAGTCGATAGGCTATAGGTAGTGATACAACCGTTTTTGACGTCCCCTCGCGAGTCGGAGATGGTAAAGAAGAACGGCTATTTGGGCTAGTTGGTAAGAATCTGGCGTTCACACAGCACTCGTGTTGTCCTCTTTGCTTTCCTTGCCTCGCCTTTCGTTTCACGTTTCTTCTAGCACCTTCGTGCTCGCGCTGCAGCCCTTATCGGAGATGGTGGTTCGCGATGTGCGGTAGAAAGCTACAAATGCAATAAGAACTTCCTCCGCAATTATTATTTTCAGGGCTCGGAACGTGAGTCCTCAAACTGTGTAAGCGAGCTAATGGGTGGCGACTCGCTATTTGAAAGTCGAGTGTACTGACTTGGGAGGTAAGCATCTCGAAGCTCTCGAAACGTGTTCACCATGCCCAAGCCTATAGAAGGCACTGGTTCAAGGTGTTCACGGGGAGGTCGAGGGCCCACTTTACAATTTTGTGAAGAATGACTTCAAGTGCATCCTCGTCTTGCTTTCGCAGGTGGAGGTATGGGTTAAAACATAAGATCCTACTGGCTAAAAATGCATGTGCCAGCCGCAACGCATCTTTTGCACCATAGCACCTCGCGTTTGTTAGAGGCCCGACAGACTATGTGACCCACCTCACGTAGTTTAGGAAGTGTGGTATCTGACCACCTGTTTTGATTATGTAGCATCATCATCACCATTCAATATCGTCGTTTTCTAGCTATTATGCTACGCACCCAGTGCAGTTGATGCGAAGATCTCATGGTGCGAAACGGAGAAAACACTCACGCTCCCAGTGATGTGTACGCCTGCGGCCACCGTCGTTTGGCCCTATAGAAATAAAGAGGTGAGATAAAGAAAGATAAGAGCATTCATTGTAAAAAGAAAAAAAGAAGAGAGAGCTTGGAGGCTGAAGGCATCACCCCT